TTAGCCATTCAGCAATTTGTTTGGGGATTGGTAAAATTTGTCTAGCGGCCAGTTATCTAATGTAGCCACTGCAACCCCTCATGATGAGTTCAGGTTTTTTTGTGGCCCCCACCCCCATCAAAGTTGCCCATCCCTGATCTAATCCGCTGTGAAATATATTTTCCACAACCAAGAATATTGTATTTTCAGCTGTTTGAAGCTGGTGTACAAAACCAAAAGTAAAAGATGCAAAAATGAAACTTCAAAATGGGAAGCATAGAAATAGCGCACATAGAACAGATCTACTGATTCTTAGCCTTGCTTTCAATGAGAATGACAGATCTATAACACACAATTTGGTCGGGTAGCCCAAAAAGTTACATATTGCCGCTTTAACACTGATATACACACACGAGCACACACACATGCGCACACAAACAAACTCACAGATGTGTGCGCACATGCACACGGAAACACACACAGCTAGCATGGCTTTAACACAGCGGGTGGTGGTGGGGGTTTGATGGGGAAAGGGTGGATGGGGGGCAAGGGAGGCGGGGTGAGGCTACCACCGTACAATCACTTCACTTCACTAATTGCTAATTGCCCAGGCTTCAGGACAGAAGGCAATTTCAAATCCCTTTAGATGGAAATTGCCAGAGTGCTGCTCATTCCGTACAGAGTGGCCATATGCAATCCCAGACAAACAGCCTGTCATTCCTAGTATTCCCAGGGGAGCACGCCAGGGCCAAGGAGATTAGATGCCAATTTCAGACTGGGCACATGGCCAGCTTGCAGGTGTCTCTCGACAAGACAAAGGGTCACCTCAGTACCAAGGATTTCTCATCCCCCTCACGAATGCCCAGGCCCATCAATATTTGGTAATACTCTACATTATCTCTGTCCCATTCAGCATTCATAATTCAGTGTGATATGATAATTTATCAAATGGTTCCACGTACTGAATAGCCGTGACAAACATGAGACAATTGATTTGGGGAAGCATTAAGATATAGATGTGTAGATTTACATATCAGGCCTGTTAGAAATGATTTTCAATCATCTATTCAATCATCCAACATAAATTAACCTTTATGTATGATATTAGTTAACTTTTCAGGTTACATTGGCCTAATTTTAATTGCTATCAATCTCTCTTTCTTTTTTCTACATCAGAGCTTGAAAACAAATGCCTTTATAACACTAAGTGTTATGGTTACTGGTGCATCACTGATGGAAGTGCATCACTGATTTTTGATGACTTGGGTTCAATTCCAAAATATGTCTCGCCTTTGACCACGCGTTTAGTTTTTTTTTTTAGCTTTCAAATTCAGATTTGAAGGAAGTATTTTGTCCTGCATGTCTCAGACACAATCACATTTTACAGCACATCTACTACATAGGGATTTGACGCAAGCGCACATGCACCCACCCAGACACACATTGACAAAACAAATACTGTACACACTTGGTTCCCACTCTACTGTACCATATCAATTGAAGGACAACAACTACCTACATTTTTTTATTTACTTAGCTGCAAACTGTTGGGAACTTTCATTTCTGTGCTGATCCAAGAAAAGCGCATGCATGTAAGGTTTTCTTTCGGGACAAGAGAAATGTACAGTAAGGAAATCATGAAATATATGGAAGTTGTTCTAATCTCATTGCCACTAAGCTCAATCTTAAATATATTATAGTGAAAATACATATTGCTGTCAATGTAAGCACTTCCATATTAAATCTCACCATTCTCAAGAACAATAGCGAATTGCTCACCTGTAATCACAGAATATGTCATCATTCATGCCCTGGGACTCAACTTCAGGGTGGAGATCCTCCTTTTCCTTTACTGTAAGATTGAAACATGTTCTATTAGGCTACTACCAGAAAGCTCTATACATACTCTTATAATGTTTATTCAATTACATTTAAGGGAAGGAGATTGGGGTAACACTTCATAATATTTTCATGAAAAATTATTTATAAATTCATAAGCATTACAAGCATTACCATTCATAAAGATTAGGAACATGTATTATAATGTATAAAGCATTTATAAGCATTTTTACACATTTATAAGCATTTATATTGTCTTATTCATGAAAGTTAATAGAAAATGTAACCGGACATCATTCAAAACGACACTGTGGCAGATCCCAGTTGTGAGAAAGTAACATTGTCCCTGCACAGAGAAAAAGCAGGTCCTACCTACAGTACAAAACATGATTATTTTGATTGACCAAATGACATGAATCAGGAAGAAGCAGTGTGGTTTTCCAGGAGTACATGTTTGAATGCATTCCATCCCTGAGATATTGAGTGATAGGATTAACCTTTATAGGGTTCTTCAGATTGTCTCCATAGGGGAACCCTTTTTGGTGCTAGGTAAACCCTTTTCAGAGGGTTCTACCTAGAACCCTCTACTGTATGAAGGGTTCTTCCTAGAATCCTCTATAAATGGTTCTACCAATCATCTAAAGGTTCTTCCTAGAACCCTTCTACGAACGGTTCGACCAATAACTATTTTAACTTTGAAGGGTTCCTCCTAGAACCCTATGGTTCAACCACCCTTATTAGCCTTTAAAATTAAACTCTTTATGACAATACATTACATATATCAAAGGCCTTTCTTCAAGGGCCTAGTTATACTCTAACACAGTAGTCTGAAACTCCTGGTTTACAGGCCACATCAGGCATTCAAGTCCTGCAACCCACATTCAGAATGACTGAAAGGGTAGGAAAGATTGATTAATGAGACTACTAAATCATCTAAACTGGAACAGCCATCTCAGTAAAGGGTGAAATAAGTCTAACTACTAACAGATTGGATTCATCTCTTACATATACTGTATGTAAGAGATAAAAAGGTTATTGGTAGAACCCTTCATAGAGGGTTCTATGATTAAACCTTCATAGAGGGTTCTAAGTAGAACAATTTACAGAGGGTTCTATGAAGAATGTAGTTTTCATGCGAAATCTGAGAAGCTTCATATATGAACAGGTAACTGCCAAAATAAAGGAAATACTTGAGTTGAGAGCTGTTATGGTGTGGGTTTCATTTTCCTGGTAAGGTTTAGGTCCACTCAAGAGGGCAAGGTAAACAAAAACACTAATAAATACAAAGCCATTCTGAGTGATCACCTTCAACCTATGGTGAAGCATTTCTATACTGATGGGAGTAGTCTCTTTCAGGATGACAATGCCCCAATCCACAGGCCACAAGTGGTCATTGAATGGTTAGATGAGCATGAAAACGATGTAAACCATATGCCATGGCCGTCTCTGTCACCAGATCTCAACCCAATTGAAATTTATGGGAGATTCTAGAGCGGCGCCTGAGATAGCGTTTTCCACAACAGTCAACAAAACACCAAATTATGGGAATTTCTCGTGGAAGAATGGTGTCGCATCCCTCCAATAGAGTTCCAGACACTTGTAGAATCTATGCCAAGGTGCATTGACACTGTTCTGGCAGCTCGTGGTGGCCCGACGCTCTATTAAGACACTTTATGTTGGTGTTTCCTTTATTTTGGCAGTTACCTGTATGTCACAACACATGTGTAACACAAATGTGTAATTTTCTCAATGTTGAAACCACAGAAAAATATGAACAACAAACAACAAATGACCAAAAATATCTCCTCAACCATCCTGAGTGCTCTTTTGTGCATCTGTACAAAATGATTTCCAACAGCTCCTTGTGTAAATATGATTAAAAAGTAAAGGGGCTTTCGAGAGAGACAAAGGAGAGGGGTTTCATGAAAAGCATGAGGACAAGTAAAGGAGGGAATCCAGGGGTGATGAAATATTCAGTGTTCATGTCAACAGCTCCCGCAGGTGGAGAGGGGAGGAGTGGTGAGAGCGAAAGAGAGTGGGTGCGACAGCAGCACCTTTGTGAGGCCGAGACGGGTGCACAAAGGCTAGAGAAGAGCCGGGGTCTGGTGCAGGTGAGAGGGGGAACAAAGCCAGCTGATTCCAACCTGTCTTTTTGACAACCCCAGTAATCAGCGGTGCCGGGCTGGGACAGGAGGGCCACAGCACAGAGAGAAGGGACAATTGGGACGGAAAGAAGGCCTCTAGCACCTCGCTGACGGTTCACACACAGGGTTGAATGGGGTTTGTCTGATTTCCCACATGCGTGGAGGGATTGGCATGCACAGTATGTAAAGTGCATTACCACACAGCTGAAGCTGTTGGCCAGGTTTGGGGTCCATTTTGATTTCACTCAATCAATAAATTAACAGACATTACATTTGTGAATAAATAAAAAATCCCAGTTGAAAACAATAGGGTAATGTTCGGTTGACGAGTTGAACAGCAATTTATTTCCTCTACTGAATTAAATAGACACCAAAACCGGTGATGTTCAAAGATGAAACTGACCTTGGACACTGGAAGACATGTTTGGGTGAGGTGGCGTACCTGCATATTTGCCACCTTTGTTGCGGGTCACGAAGCATGCGATGAGCACGGTGAGGGTGAGGAGAGCCATGGCGCACATCATCCCGATGAACCAGCCCTGGGTGGAAACTCCCCCGTGAAGACTGGCCAAACCTAACCCACCCCAAACAGACACATGGGGTTAGTTTGTCCCATTCCCTAAACAACTCATATAAAAACTAGTACATTAGAAAACAGATAGCAGGAAAACTGCTTGGCATATGAACCATATGGAAGTCAGTTGAGGTCATGAAAATAACAATTTTTTCTCAACAGACCTCCATAGTACAATGATATCCCCCATTGTTAGTTTTTTTCACTTTCCCCTGGTAACATTTGTCAATCACTTCTAAAATAATATTAAATGAAGGACTTCTCACCACAGACGCTGTCGATAATTGTCGATAAATGCTTGTCAATGTGGAATTAAGTTGTTGTGGGTGGAAATGACAGTTGATGGCTACCAATTACACACCATGGGACTATTCTCTCTTACCTTTGACTCTGGTCTGTATAATGTCTTCGAAAATACTATCATTATCGAGCCATGACTTAGCCATGAGACGCACAGTGTACACCGTCCCAGGCTCCAGCCCTTCAATCATGTGGAAATTCTTAGAAGTGTTTACTGCTTCTGAAATCCTCCAGTTACCTTCACCTACAGGATTCGCACAACCATCATCATGTGTTATTATTCAGGCTAGCAGCACATAGTAAGGACTATCGCCATGCTAAACACTACTTCTATGACAACACAACACTGTAAAATACATTGTTTACAGTATAAATGCATTGCAAGTTACTGAAATGCAATAGCAGTCAGTTCGTGCATACAGTACAGTCAAGCCCTATATATACTTATGACTTGGGCTGTGTCGGTTATGACATTTTGTCAGCTGGTGATTGTCAAGCAATAACTGCCGGTCTCACTGTAATTGACCGTTAATGAACATAAACACATTTAGCATCTCCTGTCTTCCACACATAGCCTACAAGCCACTGATGCAGACCTTTGGAACATCTACATTAAAAAAAGTATAATAAATCCATGTAATATAACTGCCATTATTTATTTTAGACAGGTGTAAAGAAACATGATAAGAAGAAAATGTAGTCTATTTCAGAAGAACAGAATAGCATACTCTGCAATGTCCTTATGTTAGGCCCTGATCTGGCTATGCAATATGGCTGTGGACTACACTAGTTCATTTAGCAGGCAAGATTTGCTCTGAATTCCGTAGCATTATTTTATAGTATAAAGAATGCAATTGAACATAGCTGAATATAATAGAAAGGATATTTTCTCCAAACGAGAGGGAGTGCGCACATGCGGCTATTCTGTGTTGAGCGGTTAACAAAGAAACAGGTACTCCTATATGCTTAATTTAGAGTTATTTATGTAACTTTAGTTGTGATACAAATGTTGGGCTATATGTTTTGATTTTTATTACATTCTAAGGCTGCATGATGTGACTAATGACGATTTGTAAAAAGTTGCATGAAAGGCATCAGTATATCATTCACAATTTGACAAGCACTTGATAATGCCTCGGATTTCCCGGCTGCATCCCCTTTGTGTGGCCATAATCCCCCTAAAAAAATCCATGCATTTTGCGGCCAGTAGCCGTTATGCCCTTGGGCTGAATATAATAATTATAATTCCATTCTCCCCGCTGCGTGCCGAAGCACACATAGCTCTCAGTCACTTGATTGGGTCTTTCTCACAGGCTACAAGTGAAGACAGACACATCGGGGACGCACCTGCGCGCGACTTTATCCAATTCCGTGGCGCATATTGAAGATATTGGAAGAACTTTCCACATGTACTTTTCGTCAGCCAACAAGATGAGCAGGCCTAACGAACAGCAAAAGCACTAGCCTATGTCAATCTACTATCCCCCATAGTACAAAAGTTGACCTATTCTATTCTGTGCGAGAAATAAATATTCCAAACATAGTCTGGGACAGTTGTGGGATGCGATAGATCCCAAATTAATTCAACCACTAGCATAAAAAAAACTGTTTTATGCAATGAGCCTGACGCAACAGATGAGAACATTTAGCTTAAAATGTTGATAAACTATTAGGCTATTTCTTCACATTATAAGCGCAGCAATGTGCACACAGCAGTAGGCTATAAGCGAGAATGTTCCATTAGCAGGAAAACACAATTCTCAAAAGTGACCACAAATGCGATTATGCATGTAGTGCTTTTATTATAAAGGGGCATTTTTATGGTGAAAATTATCTTCCCCAAACTTTAAACTCAAAGCTGCGTATGTATGCCAGTTAGGCTCTGCACCCATTGTAAAGCGGATTAATGTGCTTCTTTTTAAGAAGTTATATGGCCACTTTAGTTGTGATACAAACCTTATCAAAACATATAGGCCTATGGGCTAGGCTACATGAGGTGCGACTATGATTTGAAAAGGTTGCCCAAAAAGAAGCATGCGCTGTTTGCCTTAAGCTGGGCATCATTCCCAAGTGATAATATCTCATTCAGAAGTGATAGGCTAATATTGTCACCCCATCACACTATTCTTGATTTAATCTTGTCTTTACATATACTAAATCATATACTGTATGTGTGAAATTTGTTTTGATTTAGAATTGACCATTATCATGCATGTCTCGAAATAGGGGCAGCAAAAAAAAAAATACATGTCATCTATGCACTTAAATAGCGAATGGAGGACGCTTTTCTCGTGGTTCATTTTCATGCCAGCCAGGTAGGCTTTACTCCTGTTTTAAAGAGAAGCAATGTGCTTAATATTAGAAAGGTTGAGAAATAAATATAGTAGGTCTAGTCTATAGAAATCTGATGGGATCCTCCTCTTTTTAATAGAGGCGATCACTCTGTTTTCTCACACAATTCCATAGCCTGTAGAAATGTTGCGCAACATGAGCTCATGGGCTCTCATGAAGTGTTTGATTAGATTTTCGATCACATTTCCATTGATGTCAGAGTGATTAGAGAGACAATAGAGTGTGGGGTACCAGGCAGTTAGCACGTTTGGTAGGCTACTAACGACCATCAGCAGCATCAGAGCTTGGAGAAGCCTAATTACCATGACTAAACGGTCACATGGAATTTGACTGCCATCATGACTCGTGATCGCCGGTGTGGCAGTAACACAGTCACCGTAACAGTCCTACTTATGACATATAACAACATTTAAAACAGAGCAACACACTGTTCTACTTTAAGGAAAACTAAGCTGTGGGGGTTAGAGAGTAGCTTACGGTTATTCATATAAGCGACATAAAGCTGAGAGTCCTGTTGCTCGTCCCTGGCAGTCCAGCTGATTTTTGCAAAGGTGTCACTCACATAGGAGCTTATGTTCAACAGGGCTGGGACTGATAAAGAGAGAAGAAAGGAAGGGTAGAGAAAAGAGAGGCAGGGAAGAGAGGAGTAGTGAAGCCAAATAGGATCCCCCAAGTAAAGAACACTGCAGCCACTAGGCACCCTTCAAGGAGAATGTTAGAAAGCAAGGCAGGCAGCCTCTACTTGATTGTGTGGAATTGGATTTGGTGTACAGGGAGATATAGAATGTAGGCAAGTCATCTGAGCTGCCATTTCTGACATCCCACATGCAATAATATCTAAATACATCCGACAACTTCATGTCTGGAAATGGTATTGTTGTCGGAGACACAGAGTGGAAAATTAATCATAATAGAAATATAGCAAGGAACAAAGGAGCATCATAGTAGAAGTGTGAGTATGTAGTATACCTAAGGAGGAAAGAGTTGCATTCACAGGAATCGAGCTGGGAGGAATGAGAGAGCAGTTCTGCCCTGAAATGAAAGACACACCTCAAGTTCCAATGTACCCATTGAAATAGTTTCTACATTTCTACAATTGTCTTGTTTACGTAATGACCAATTTCAATTGTACTTTGTCAACATTTACACAACATCTACAACGAAGGTCTACTAGTGGTAGGCTGAGTGCCAGGTATCAATGTAGTGTTATTGAATGCTGAAACAATTATGTGTCCAGGCTATACAAATTGATATCTCGCCACCAATTACAAATGACAATTTATGGTTAGAAATTACGCTGCTACCACTACTGTATACTACAGTGGCGTCATTCAACACATTTTTATGAAGGGCCACTGATGGCCAAATTCTATATTTTTGCATTAATTCCATATCTTGTTTTACTACAAGCCTAAATCCCAGAATTAGACTAGCGAGCAAAGCTGGTTGAAATGATGTCGAAATAATTGTAAAACAGATTCTAATGACATAATTTCAACCAGTTTTGCCCGCCGGGAAGGGGGCATGTGCCTCTTTAGTTTCGATGGGCATGACACCACTGGTATACTGTTACTAATGTTAGGCCAACATTAGCGCAATTATCAACACACTACTACCCTACCGGAAATGTCACACACAATTAACACATTCCGTTTGCAATTCTAACATGTTCCAATGGCATGTGAAATTACTTGATAAACAATTTCCAAAACATTTGAAATATATTAAGGAACTAAAAATCCACTCCAAACTATAGCTTTTAAGGTAATTGTGAAAGCAAAGATGGGGTAGAATGCATTTTACATTCAACATGTTACAATTCAATGTGTTGCAATAAAATGTGTTATTGTGTAATTAATGTATTTCTAACACATTTTTAACATGTAGATTTCCGGTAAGGTACTACTACCACAACTACCACAACTACCGCTATCTGTATCTGGTATTCTATCCAGGAAGCCTATGGAGGCTTTTGATACATACTCCTCTCAGTGGGTGCCACAGCTGGAGTGGAGGAGAAATCTTCAGAGGGAGAAGAGTTCAAATAAGGCACCACATCACAAACATGAGGAAAGCTAGTCTCCAGGCACAGTCAAACACCAAATACCATACACACGTGTACGTACGCACGGATGCATGCACGCATGCATACACACACAGACACACACACAGCCATAATCAATCATTAATACACACAAAAACTACAACCGTCATCTATCAATGTTGATGACAGCCAAATGGTACATTTTTAATCAGTCATAGACATATGCTAGTGATACACAAAGCACAACACTAAAGCCAGGCATTGACCTTTTCAAAACAACTGACATGATGAAATGTGCTTTATGAAGAGCTTACACTGAGTATACCAAACATTAGGAACACCTTCCTAATATTGAGTTGCACCCCCTTTTGCCCTCAGAACAGCCTCAATTCGTCGGGGCATGGACTCTACAAGGTGTCGAAAGCGTCTCACAGGGATGCTGGCCCATGTTGACTCCAATGCTTCCCACAGTTGTGTCAAGTTGGCTGGATGTCCTTTGGGTGGTGGACCATTCTTGATTCACACAGGAAACTGTTGAGCGTGAAAAACCCAGCAGCGTTGCAGTTCTTGACACAAACCGGTGCGCCTGGCACCTACTACCATACCTCATTCAAATACATTTTTTGTCTTGCCGATTCACCCTCTGAATGGCACACATACACACATACACAATCCATGTCTCGATTGTCTCAAGGCTTAAAAATCCTTATTTAACCTGTTTCCTCCCCTTTATCTACACTGATTGAAGTGGATTTAACAAGTGACATTAATAAGGGATCATAGCTTTCACCTGGATTCACCTGGCCAGTCTATGTCATGGAATGAGCAGGTGTTCTTAATGTTTTGTTTCTCCCCAGAATCTTTTTACGTGTCTATTTTCAAAGAATAAAGCTAAAAACATTAACAACTTCATAGTTAAGAACACTATAAAAATATGGAAAGAAAATTAAACGTATTCTACAAAAATCAATATCACTCCCTAAAACACAAATTTATGGAACAATCCTTGGATAGCTTTTCAGAATTCACTGATAAATTGGTCCACATGGACAACTAAAGGCACAGAATGACTTGGTAACAGGAAATACATTTATTTCCATGACAGAATTAAAAAGTAATTTTGGACTGAACAATGTAGATAGTTTCAAATACATGCAACTTAAAAGTTACACATCACGAAATTTCGATTTGAAATCTTTTGGACATCAGAGCAACCTTGAGGGAATCTTATTTGAGTCAGAAAAGGATGTTCATATGATAGGGAAGATATACAAAACCTTGCAGAGAGCATATCCAACTGACAATCTCTCAGAAAAAAAATATAAACTATTAGAACCAAGACTTAAAAAGAACTGATGTTGGCACAAGATGAAGGGAAAGTTGGAGCATAACTAACGAAATTACAGTTAACGACAATTTACGCTTAATCCAGTATAAACTAATGTATATAATTTATTATACAACAGACAAAATTCACAAACTCTACAGCACAAGGGCAGTCATGTGTTAAGTGTAAAACTAATAATGACTCAATAATCCATGCTTTCTGGGAATGTTATAAAGTCCGGAAATTGTGGGCGTAGCTAGAAAGTTGGCTGTCAGAAGTATTACAATGCAAACTTACTTTTAATCCATCTGTCTGCATATTTCAAGACATGGGATGTGGGGGTGTAGTGAGATACCCGATGGGTTGGACGATTCTCTTCTCATCACTCATCTTGAAATCCGCCATCATTAACACAATGGAAAAATCTAATGATTTATTATTTAAATATTGAAAGTGCGTGGGCTACAGAGAGAAACAAAATGGTGCAGTTTGTGGCCATGTGGCGGAAAGTGATGCAGGCCCTGGAGATTGGGGTGTGTGCTAGTGGTTCTGGGCAGGTGTGATGTAGTTGATGTTTGTATGATGTAGTAATTTGTATGTGTATGTTTTGTATTCTTTATAAAATATCAAATAAAATCTTTTTAAAAAATGTATAAAGGATCATAGCTTTCACCTGGACTCACCTGGTCAGTCTATGTTATGGAAAGAGCAGGTGTTCCTAATGTTTTGTGAACTTAGTGTAATTGAATATCTGGAGAAACACTGTTTTTCTGAGGGAATTTTGGTAGGAGGTTTAGCTATTTGTCTTAAATTCAACATACTATTTTTTTTCTTCACTTTTTTGTTACACCATTATCCCATGAGGAGACAGACAAAAATAGATAGATGGTTTTAGACCAGTTGAAGAGTCCAACACATTGTTCTGATATCACTGCTGTTGTGTCCTTGTATCACAGCTGTTGTTCTTATTCAGTTTCTCAGTAGTTTCTCTCTTTCTATTTCCTGTGTACCATACTCTTCTTTCTTTATCTCACTCATGTCTCTCTCTCTCTCCTCTCTCTCTCTCACTCATGTCTCTCTCTCTCTCTCTCTCTCTCTCTCTCTCTCTCTCTCTCTCTCTCTCTCTCTCTCTCTCTCTCTCTCTCTCTCTCATCTCTCTCTCTCTCTCTCTCTCTCTCTCTCTCTCTCTCTCTCTCTCTCTCTCTCTCTCTCTCTCTCTCTCTCTCTCTCTCTCTCTCAGGCACAGACACCCACCCACACTCAAATACAAACAGAAACAAAACATACACACCCCTCTTTCCCATATTCCCATGATGCATCTCACAGTACCATGAATGTTCCATTGTATGTAGTATCAACTCCATACTCTCTATCACCTCCCATCAATGTCTCCAAACTCATTGTGTTCCAGCTCCCCTATTGCCATACATACAGTTTTTCTCAATTGCTAAAACACTAAACCCTATTGTCTGAACCAAATGCTCAGTTGCCTGAACCCACTGATTGAATCAATCACTCTTTTGGCAAAACCATAAGCGCTTTTCACCTGTTTAGACATAACTTGCCAACACATTTTCATTGTGATGCACCCGTGCTGCATAATGGTGAGCACAGGTGACAAAAGTCAAACACAATTAGAGCACAGGTGTCACCACTTGAACACAACAACTCAAAATTGATCACACTTGTGGCTAATGATGTGAGGGAACATATACAGTAAGCCAGTTCAGAGAGCACTGGTTTGTGAGGCCCTACAATGGATAGAAATCTGAGAGGAAGAGTTTGTGTGAGAGGAGGTCGAGGTGGTTGAGGTGGTCAGCGAAGACAAAGAACAGTAATATCTGATGAAATCAGAGCTACTGTGATTGACCATGTTCTTGTCCATGGTATGAGCATGAGGGAGGCTGGACAAAGGGTACAACCAAACATCAGTAGATTCACTGTGTCCACCATAATCCGAAGATTTAGAGAAGAGAACAGGTAATTACCTTTTTTTGACATTATAGTACAGTATGTAAATGTTGACAGCAATTACTGTATGACATACTATATACTGTACCACAGTATACTGTAAGTAAATATATGTTTCAGTACATCACTGTACCAATGTACTGTAGTATTGTAATGGAGGGTTGGTCTAACTGTTTGTAGGCCTAGTATTCCATGTATATTTTTTGTAACTCCATGTTCTCTTTTTGTAGAATTGAAAGACTGCCACATGGGGGTGGGAGGACAGGTATGTTCTCCCCACACCAAGAGACCCTAATTGTTGATATGGTCCGTGAGAACAATGCCATTAAACTGAGCGAAATTCAGCAGAAGATCATTGAGGACCATTTAAATTTTGAGGGTATCAACAGTGTCAGCCTCTCTACTGTTGATCGTGTCCTCAAGCGCAACAGACTGCGCATGAAACAGCTATACAGAGTGCCCTTTGATCGCAACTCAGACAGAGTCAAAGAGCAAAGATTCCAGTATGTACAGGTTGGCATATATCCAGACACATTCAATGTTGATTACTCTAAGTAGTGATTTACTGTAGAGGCCTAAATCACTTTTTCCGTATCACTTACAAAACTATATATATTTCTACAGAGGGTTTTTCAACTGGATGCAATGGAAAGACCCCATCAATACATCTACATAGATGAAGCTGGGTTTAATCTCACCAAAAGGAGAAGGAGAGGCCGTAATGTGATTGGCCATCGGGCCATTGTTGGTGTTCCTGGGCAGCGTGGTGGCAATGTCACATTATGTGCTGCCATCAGCAATCATGGGGTTGTCCACCATCATGCCAACCTGGGGCCCTACAACACTCACCAGCTCCTCAATTTCCTCAATCACATGTGAGATGCTTTGTTAGGGCAGCAGGATGAGCATCCCATCTATGTTGTTGTTTGGGACAATGTGAGTTTTCACAGAGCCCTCCAGGTTAGAGAGTGGTACAATATGAACCAAGGTTTTATCAATCTTTGCCTTCCACCGTACTCCCCTTTCCTAAACCCCATTGAGGAATTCTTCTCCTCATGGCGGTGGAAGGTATATGAACGCCAACCTTACACCAGGGTAAATCTCCTGCAAGCCATGGGACTTGCCTGTGGTGACATAGGTGTGGAGGCATGCCAAGCCTGGATACGGCATGCCAGGGTTTTTTTCCCCCCGTTGCCTGGCCAGACAAAATGTGGCCTGTGATGTGGATGAAGTCCTGTGGCCTGACCCAGTACGGAGACATGATGCTGTGGCTGAGTAATGCACTTATTTGTATATTTTTGTACTTTATTTTTACATGGGCTTACTGTACACAAGTGGCAAACGCATAAGATTTCTGTTTGTTTTTACAAGTGCTACATCTAAATGCACAGTTTTTTTTTGTTTTGCAACATGCATTTAGCCTACAGTGAACAATAAACATTTATTTCTCCAGCTTCATGTCCTGAGCATTGTGTTTTCTATTTTTCTACGTAGTGTTTAGTGACTGTTCAGTAGTGTTTTTTATTTTGATTGACTCGGGGCACGATTTGACAACATAGTTCAGTTTTGAGCACAGATTGAACTGTTTTGAGGTGAAAGTTTGGTTTTGCAAGAAGAGTCTGAGGTTTTGTGAATGTAGCTTGAAAATTGGGTTTTGTGTTCACAGTTAAGTGAAAAGGAGAGCAGCTTTCAAGAAATGTGTCTTAGCAATCGAGAAAAACTGTAAATCTTGTTGATTGCAATGACTGGCCGGAAGGAAAACGTGCCTAATAGGCCTCTCTATCTCCATTCAGAGCCATATACTCTACCATGTTCACTAATGACAGAAACTATAGTGTCTCAATAGCAGCACTGACTGCAGGCACAGACTACAACTCCCTTCAACACTTCAAAAATGGGTTGTCTCAACAATGAGTTCTCATTCAACTTCATCAACATGGCTGCCTGATGTTTGCTAAAAGTTGTCAGCGTACACAGTTTGTCTCATAATCTAGATGTCAACCACAAAACAACAAAAGGGTTTGAAGCTGTTGTTGAATATTTGTTTGCATATTTATTGGCATAACACTGTAGTGTAAGCTATACATGTGTAGTAGTATTTGGCTTGACATGAATGGATGCGATTTCAAAACAACATCTGCAGGTGTAGGAGAAAGTTTAGGTAAATTTTATATTACCTCGTTTTGTCTGCTAGTTAGTTGTAGGCTAACATCAATTTCCTTAAGAAAGCAGATCGCTAGCTAGCTGGCTAAAAACAAAGCTTTGCTAGCAAGCTAGCCTTTTAACTTCCCACATCTCCCCCATATGATATAATACATTTATCATTAAATAATGCCTATTTTTAACCTACTACATTATCCCAGTTTGATATGTTGCTTGAATGCGTTCGCTCCCATTTCAGCAAAAAAATATAACCAAATATTTCCTCACGGCAAGATAATTATAATTAATAGCAGATAACTGCTGTAAAAACTTCTGCTTTACCATTTTTAAATAGCCTAGAATCACATTATTATTACTTCTAAACAAAAAACCTTTTGGGGATGCTAATAAATCAACAATGTTGTTTGGATTATTGTTTGAAGAGTCGTTGAGATTATATTTGGTCATGACTGCAAAATAGGCTACTTATTTGATGCAGCAGTTGATAGAATGCCAAGCTCACTAGGAGGAGGTAATACAAGCATACCGATGCCTACTACAAGTAACCGTAGCTGCGTTGCGTAGTGTTATGTTGCGTAGCGTAAAGTATTCATTGAGCTTAGCACAGCCATCAACTCCCTCAACCATGATCCATCCCCCTGTGGATTAGCTACTCACTTGCTTCTGTGACCATGCTACCCTCCTCCATGCGCTGGGGTCCGCAACCCACCCTGGTGCAGGCGCTCAGGTAGAACATGTACTCGCTCATCTCCCCCAGGCCCTGCAGGAGCCACTGGGTGGTGTCGGCACTGCTGACGTTCACCTCCTGCATGTCCCCCACCGCCAACGTCTCATTCACTATAGAAGAAGAAGAAAATAATAGAAGCCATTTAGCAGATGCTTTTATGCAAAGCGACTTACAGTCATACGTGCATAACTATTTAAAAAAAAAATACGTATGGGTGGTCCCAGGAATCAAACCCACTAAGCCAGCATTGCAAGCGCCATGCTCTACCAACTGAGCTACAGAGGACCACCCAAGAAGAAGATATACACACACATATACAAAAATACACATTTGTTTGGAGAGGCTGGAGCAGAGAAAATCTAATTTAGCTCACAGTCACAAACATTCACATGACACAGGTCTTGACTTTTGTGCAAGGAGTTTTGTGAGCTGACTATGTGAGCTGATGAGGAAAACAAGGCCCTAGTTATAAGACTTGACTAATATGCTGTAATTAGGCCCCAGAAGTTTTCATGGTCAGGTCTTGTGGTAAATAAATGGAGAGGTTAGTGTTACAGTATTTTACCCATCGATTACAGATTCCAATTACTGCACTTACAAATCACTGTCTCCCTATTTTCTGTATTAGTGCCTTTCCATGTTATTCCTAAAGACTTTGAGTTGCTCTGAAGCAGCATGTACATAAAGAGATACCTCTATACAATGATAACGTTTAATAAGATTTCCTTGTTGAATTTTTTTTATTGTAATATATTTGCCAGCCTGTTAGGCTCTCTGAACCAGTTCTATTGTAATGCTCATATTCCCACTGGCTCCTTGTACTTTAATATCAGTGAAATGCTGATATCTGATGACAAGCACTGAAAAGGGCGTGCTGGCTGCATTCAGACGCTCGACTGGCTCAGTGGGTGCTAGAACAACTGCAGGGGAGGGTCTCCCATAACATTTCACACAAAGACTCCAGAAATGTCAGGGAAATAAAATATGCAGGCAAAAGGAAAATGTAATGAATGTGATGAAAGCCTCTTGCCTCAGTGTTCTCTCCATAAGATGTGTTCTCTTCATATAAGATGTGATTGGTTTTATTTGAATTCCATGTGATAGAAATCATACAATCACATATGAACACTAGTCATGTCTTCTTTTGATTTAGTAAACAGCAATTACATTTTAAATGCCTATAGAGGTAACCCTCTGCCAGTGGGCAATACCAATAACTGAGCTTTAGAGAGAAACCAATTGAACATTGAGTATTTAAACAGCACCATCTAGTGCAGGTTTTGATAGTGCAGCTATTGGAACAACAGCAAACTGTACTACAGTAAATGACCAGTCTAAAGTGACCGCTAGGTAATAGGAGGTCAAGAGTGTACGTTAAGTAATATTCAACTGGTAATATTGGGGTGAAGTTGTGTGTACATACTCATCTACTGTAGTAATAGTAGGGTGGTCATATGAGTACATACTCATCTAGTAATACTAGGGTTGTCGTGTGTACATACTGAGTTGGTACTGCAGGAGATATCCTGTAAGGATGCCGTTGGCCTCAAAGGGGGGTGCCCACACCAGGGTGATAGAGTCTCTCTGGGCGTTTGACACTGTCAGAATGGGCACTTGTTCAGGAACTGGCAAAACATATAAAAACAAACAAACATTACACATTCAGCCTACAATCCGTCATAATCATATTGAACATACTGCTTAAGCTTACTTTGCTGTGAAATCTATAGGCTTTAGCGTTCACATATTTTGAGCCTCTTTTTTTCAGCAAGGCACACAATCAATTATTTTGCTGTTTGCTTAATATGTATTAATATACAGTATAAGGCATACACTCTCACTTACAGTAACATGTTGTGTTCTGTGACGACACTACTACAGTTCTCAGGGCGGGTGATGTCACTGCAAGATGGCTACTACTAGAGCACACAACTAACTACCTCACATCTGCTAGACAAACTTTGCATTGTTGTACTGTTATGCCTTGTAGTAAACCTGTGAGTACACACAGCCCTCTGTCAAATATTTACCTCCTTCTGGAGTCTGGAAGGTGACAGGGTCACTATTGGGGCCGTTGCCCCGCTTGTTGAAGACGTTGACGGTCAGTCTGTACTCCGAGAAGGGTCTGAGGCCAGTGACCATGGCATGGCTCCTGTTCCCCGGGAACATCAGGAAATGTCTCTCCTCAGGAATTCTGTTGGAATGTAGGAGACTCCGTTTCCTCAGCCAGTGCACCTGAGAGAGGGATAGAAATGGAAGAGACTTAGCTGGCAGCCATTTTGAAGACGATTTTCAAATGACAAAAGGTTTGTTTGTGATGGAGGTTGTTTCACAGGAAAAAAATTATTTATTTATTTATTTTGTATATCTTTTTATTGGACGTATACACTCCCCTCCATATGTACTTGGACAGTGAAGCTAACCATTTTAATTTGGCTCTATACTCCAGCATTTTAGATTTGAGATTGAATGTTTCATATTAGGCGACAGTACAGAATGTAAGCATGTCTTGTGCCATTTTGGAGTCACTTTTATGGTAAGTAAGAACATAATATGTTTCTGAACACTTCTACATCCATGTGGATGCTACCATGATTATGAATAATCATGAATGATTTGTGAATAAGGATGAGTGAGAAGGTTACAGAGGCACAAAGATCATACCCCCCAAAAAATGCTAACCACCCATGTTATTGGTAATGGTGAGAGGTTAGCATTTTTTGTTGTAGCTTCTGAACGGCATCTCACTCATCATTATTTATGATTCATTCATGATTTTTCTTAATCATGGTATTATCAGGATTAATTTAGAAGTGTTCAGAAACATCTCATCTACTCACTTATAAAGAAAATTACCCCAGTCATCATTCACCATTCAGTTACCATTGAGCAAAACATAACACAACCAAAACAAACTGCAAATGAGTTTGTATAGTCGCAAGTTTGATGTAGTCAATGCATGCAAGCAATACTATATGGGACCAAATACTAAACTTTTTTAATACATTATAAGTGAATATGTTCAAATACTTATTAATTCTTCAAATGGTGGGACTAGATACATAAAGTTCTTTCATTTCTAAACAGTAAAACAGATATTTATGAAAATACCCTCAAATAAAAGGTGACATTCTGTACTGTCGCCTTATATGAAACAATTGATCTCAAATCCCCAAATCTGGAGTATAAAGCCAAATTTAAAAATGTTGCTTCAATGTTCAAATACTTATGGAGGGGAGTGTAAGAGCATTCAATTTACAATTCTTGACGTAGGTACACACAATGTGTTTGTCTGATGAGTTCCAATTGCTTCATTAGAAGTGTTGCTTTTTCACAGTATTTTACACTGAACAAAAATATAAACACAACATATGTTGGACCCCTGTTTCATGAGCTGAAATAAAAGATCCCAGAAATTTTCCATACGCACAAAAACCTTATTTCTCTCAGATTTTGTGCACAAATTTGTTTACATCCCTGTTAGTGAGCATTTCTCCTTTGCCAAGATAATCCATCCACCTGACAGGTGTGGCATATCAATAAGCTGATTAAACAGCATGATCATTACACAGGTGCACCTTGTGCTTGGGACAAGAAAAGGCCACTCTAAAATGTGCAGTTTTGTCACACAACACAATGCCACAGGCGAAGGGGCAGGTTTCGAGTCGAGAGCCAGACTCGATCTCCAGGTGCGTACCTGGACCCTCACTGCGGTGGAGATCAGTGCTCGCCTTCTGCCTATGGATAGCCCGCTGCAGATGTACGTGTGCAGCGTTCCACGTCTCCTCCGAGCGCCGAAACCACTCATCCACCGCAGTGAGGGTCCAGTATACGCACCTGGAGATCGAGTCTGGCTCTCGACTCGAAACCTGCCCCTTCGCCTGCCCTGCCGGAAGCTTGGTCAGCGGTTTGTGGGGCCATTTAAAGTCCTGAGGAGATTGAACGAGGTATGTTACAAGTTACAACTGCCTAATGATTATCACATTAACCCCTCGTTCCATGTGTCTCTCCTCAGGCCGGTGGTAGCTGGTCCATTCCAGGACAGTGAGATAAGAGAGACTCCTCCGCCCCCACTGGACATCGAGGGGGCTCCGGCGTACTCAGTCCGGTCCATCGTGGATTCGAGACGTCGGATGGGGGGTCTACAATATCTCATGGAGTGGGAGGGGTACGGTCCGGAGGAACGGTGCTGGGTGCCTAGGAGGGACATTTTAGATCCCTCCCTCCTGACGGAGTTCCACTGTAGTCACCCCACGCGCCCTGCTCCGTGTCCTCCTGGCCGTCCCCGAGGCCGGGGTCGGCGCACGGCTGGAGCCGCGTGTCAAGGGTGGGGGTACTGTCACGAATACCGCCGAGGCTACTCCTCCTCCTTTCTCCAGCACCAGCACCCCCGACCTCGGAGGTGCTGGGGGATGGAATGGACGGCCCCAACTCTGGACGTCCGCGGGTGGCCAGCAGGGTATCCAGACGGATTGACATGTCCACCAACTGGTCGAAGGTCAGATTGGTGTCCCTGCAGGCCAACTCTCGTCGAACGTCCTCACGCAGGCTGCACCGATAGTGGTCGATGAGGGCCCTCTCATTCCACCCCGCATCCGCCGCTAGAGTCCGGAAGTCCAGGGCGAACTCCTGTGCGCTCCTCTTCCCCTGCCGAAGGTGGAACAGACGCTCCCCTGCCGCTTTACCCTCAGGGGGATGATCGAAAACAGCCCTGAAGCGGCGGGAGAACTCCGCGTTGCTGATTGTGGCGGCGTCTATTCCCCTCCATTCGGCATTGGCCCACTCCAACGCCTTGCCGGAGAGACAGGAGATGAGGGCGGAAACGCTCTCGTATCCGGAGGGCGCCGGGTGTATGGTTGCCAGGTAGAGTTCCACCTGAAGGAGGAACCCCTGACACCCGGCTGCGGTGCCATCATATGCCCTCGGGAGCGAGAGCCGAATCCCACTGGACTCCGGAGCTGGTCTGGTGGGGCTGGCCGATGGTGGTGGTGAGGTAGGAGGAGGTGTGGGCAAGCCTCCTCTCTCCCATCGGCGCAGGGTGTTCATGACCTCTTGCATGGCGGATCCGAGTTGCTGGATCCTGGCGTCCTGGCAGCTGACCCGATCCTCCAGCGACTCGGTCCCCGCCGCTGCTCCTGCTGACTCCATAGTAAAGGTGTGTTATTCTGGCACGTTGTTGATGTGGTGAAGTCAGGCGCAGGACACAGAGGATAAGTCAACACGACTTTACTGAGACTCATGAACAATACAAAGTAAATGGCCTCAAAAACACCGGAGGCGAACTAATACGCGCAATGCGTAAAATACTCTTAAACACAAAAGTACCAAACCTTGACACCAAACGACAGGCGGACAATAACATACAACTGCAAACAAAACCAAAGGAAACTTATAGGTGACATAATCAATACAGAAGACGAAACAGGTGCGACCAACTAGACAAGACCAAACAAACATCGAGAACATACAAGCAGTAGTAGCTAGTACTCCGGGGACGACGAACGCCGAAGCCTGCTTGAGCAAGGAGGAGGAGCAGCCTCGGCGGTATTCGTGACAGTATCTGTGATCAACAGATGCATATCTGTATTCCCAGTCATGTGAAATCTATAGATTAGGGCCTCATTTATTTATTTCAATTGACTGATTTCCTTATATGAACTGTAACTCAGTAAAATCTTTGAAATTGTTGCATGTTGCATTTATATTTTTGTTCAGTATATTTACGAAGCACCTTATGGTTCTCACTACTTTGTCAGGTAGGTCATTATTTAATGGTGGGGCTTTTGTATCCCTTGCCTTTGCAACCATGAAAAAATCTTTAAAATGGCAAATAGTTAAAAACATAATTCATGTTTTTGTTTAATTTGAACTGTTTATCAATGATCAAACATAATGCAAGTCCTTTATACTGAAACACGTTATTTGTATCTATTGTTTAAAGTATTTAGTGCAAGCAAATTCGTTTTTCCCAGTAGTAATGAGTAGAGTTGTTTTGGGGATTTATTATTTTGAATGCTAGAAAATAAACACACGTATTTAATATATTGTATAGATCATTAAAACAAAGAAGGCTGTTAAAATCCCCTATTTGTTTTACAAATATAATGTGTCCCTAAGTTGTATGTCATTGGTGTTACCGACATAAAAATCACACATTACAAAGATATACAATTATTTGCTAATCACACCCTTATAGTTTGTCATACATTTGAGGATTCCAATGATGATTTGGTAGCCTGGGTACCAGTCTGTTTGAGTTATCATTCCACTCCTTGTCACTCATTGTCATGCTACCCATGTCATGTTTAGCATGACATGGAGTACAAGGAGTGGAATGTTAGCAAAACAGGTTCTGGATTTCAGGCTAATGATTTGGTGTTACTAAATAGAAAGTGTCATTGGTGTTACTCCATTTAAATGAAAGGAAATTACATTAGCAAAATGATTATCCCTCCTACTGGTTATCATAATGGGAAAAAAAGTGAAGTCATTAAGCTGCCATTTAAATTGATTTAAAATGGGAAGAAGCACCAAAATACATTTAAATAAAGAAAATATAGAAAAGAAAATCAACATTCCATGCCAAAATCCATTGCAATGACCCAAGTGCCATTGAGAATTAACTGCTGCTGACTAATGTTAACTAGGGCTGGGCGATATAGCCAAAATATCATGTCACAATATTTTTCAAATTTTTGACGGTATGTCAATATTTGACAATATTTCGTTTTTTCATAATACAAGTTCTAAATATGCTTGATGAGTAGTGCATATCCCCAGGGTGGCAACAAATATATTCTAAGTGGTTTTAAATGGGGCTTTCTCGCTTCTGATTGTTTTATACAGTTCAATTAAACTTCAACCCAAAATATTTTTTTTGTTGCATTTTCATACATTTCTGCATTTACTTCACTCATTTATCATTTCCACACTGTAAAACATTTGTTTGTCTTTGTATGCCTCTATTTTATGAAAAAGTCACTTTTCTATGACCATATATTTTCAATGGATTCAACGGCAGTTCATGCTTTCGCCACAAGGGGCATTGTACCGTTTTCGAAGGCGCTTTCGGCACCCTCACTAACTCCCAGGCAAGATTCATGGCAAAAAGTAAGTGTGCACCTTTGGTGCCAGCGCTGCCTCACATGGACTATTCACGGTATACAGTGCCTTCAGAAAGAATTCATACCCCTTGACTTATTCAACATTTTGTTGTGTTACAGCCTGAATTAAACATTAATTAAATGTATTGTTTTCCCCCCTACACACAATACCCCATAATGACAAAGTTAAAACATGTTTTTTTTAAATGTTTTCATATTTATTGAAAATGAAATACAGTATTTTCATTTACACAAGTATTCACACCCCTGAGTCAATACATCTTAGAATCACCATTGACAGCTATTACAGCTGTGAGTCTTTCTGAGTAAGTCTCTAAGAGCTTTCCACCCTGGATTGTACAATATTTGCACGTTATTACTTTTAACATTCTTTAAGGTCTGTCAAGTTGGTTGTTGATCATTGCTAGATAGACATCAATTTTCATGTCTTGCCATTGATTTTCAAGCTGATTTAAGTCAAAACTGTAACTAGGCCACTCAGGAACATTCAATGTAATCTTGGTAAGCAACTCCAGTGTATATTTGGCCTTGTGTTTTAGGTTATTGTCCTGCTGAAAGGTGAATTTGTCTCCCAGTGTCTGTTGCAAAGCAGACTTAACCAGGTTTTTCTTTAGGATTTTGCTTGTGCTTCGCTCTATTCCGTTTATTTTTATCCTAAAAAACTCCCTAGTCCTTGCCGAGGACAAGCATACCCATAACATGATGCAGTTACCATCATACTTGAAAATATAAAGAGTGGTACTCAGTGATGCATTGTGTTGGATTTGCCCCAAACATAACACTTCGTATTCAGGACATAAAGTTAATTTCTTTGCCACATTTTTTGCAGTTTTACTTTATTCTGTACAGGCTTCCATGTTTTTCATGCTGTCATTTAGGTTAGTATTGTGGAGTAACTACAATGTTGTTGATCCATCCTATTTTTTCTCCTATCACAGCCATTCAACTCTGTAACTGTTTTAAAGTCACTATTGGCCTCATGGTAAAATCCCTGAGCGGTTTCCTTCCTCTCCGGCAACTGAGTTAGGAATGACGCCTGTATCTTTGTAGTGATGGGGTGTAATGATACACTATCCAAAGTGTAATTAATAACTTCACCATGCTCAAAGGGATATTCAATGTCAGCTTTTTTAATTTTGACCCATTTTCCAATAGGTGTCCTTCTTTGCGAGGTATTGGAAAACCTCCCTGGTCTTTGTGGTTGAATCTGTGTTTGAAATTCACTGCTCGACTGAAGGACCTTACAGATAATGGTATGTGTAGAGTGCACTTATTATGTCACTTGTTAAGCAAATTTCGACTCCTGAACATATCTAGGCTTGCCATAACAAAGGGGTTGAATACTTATTGACAAGTCATTTCAGCTTTTAATTTTTAATTAATTTGTAAAAATATCTAAAAACATAATTCCACTTTGACATTATGGGGGTATTGTATGTAGGCCAGTGACACAAAATCTCAATTTAATACATTTTAAATTCAGGCTGTAGCACAACAAAATGTGGAAAATGTCCACATGTGAATACTTTCTGAAGGCAGTACCCTACATGTGCGCACCCGAAGCTCTTGCTAGCAAATTAGCAGTTCTCAACTGTTAGCAGTCTCTTACTGGCAATAAGAATGGACGATTGCCATAATTTTTCGAGTTTCATCACTCAGTTATTTCATTTATATAACATCTGACAAACCAAATGTTCAAATACTGTTATGTAAGGTAAAGTAAAAATCCAAACCGGTCCGTGCATTAATAACGGTATATTGTAAAATGTGGTTTGCCACCAAGCCCTTATGCTAACTGCTAACTAACTTCAAAGTAAAACATGCTATGCCAAATGGGCACGTACTGTACACAAAATGGTAGAGTACACAGAGTACCCTGACTTGAGAAACACACAGGCAACTTTTAATTCAGCCTAAATATTCCACATTTTTGATTCTCAAATAAGAATACAGCCTGTAGAGTAGGCTACTCAGAGATATACAGTGGGGAGAACAAGTATTTGATACACTGCCGATTTTGCAGGTTTTCCTACTTACAAAGCATGTAGAGGTCTGTAATTTTTATCATAGGTACACTTCAACTGTGAATCCAGAAAATCACATTGTATGATTTTTAAGTAATTAATTTGTTCTCCCCACTGTATATATAGGTGACCCAGTATTTCTCTTAGGTGAGACGCAAAGGCCCTACCTTGGGTGAAGAAGAGCAACAGAGCTAAGCAGATGGGCCCACCTCAAGTAAAATCCTGATAGAGAAACTTGGATAATGTTCATTAGGCCACACAATGGAAAGAAAAAAAACGTGTGTTTACATTAGACATTTTAGTCATTTAGCAGATGCTGGTTCCCAAACCATGGGTTGAGACCCACTTGTGGGTCGACGCAGGGGTACAGTTGGGTCATGGAATGCCATTTTTTGTGCATTGTTACAAATCATTTCATTATCATAAAGTCAATTTCATAAAATTGGTCCCAAGAGCCCATACTCAAATGTACATTCAGTAAAATATTTTGAATCAATTTTATGAACTTATTCTTTGGTCTGGGTACATTTATTCCACCTGTCAACCCTTATGGTGGGTCACGACTCAAAAGACACTTGCTGGGTCACAAAGCAAAAACCCCTTAGGGCACTCTTAGAAAAAAAGGGTTATTCGATTGTCCCCATAGGAGAACCCTTTTTGGGTTTCAAGTAGAATCATTTGGTGGTAAAAAAGGTTACACTTAGAACCTTTAAGTGGTGAAAGGGATCCATGTAGAATCTTATATTAGTGAATGGGTTCCACTTGGAACCAAAAATAGTTATTTTCAGAGGTTTCTCCTATGGGGAGAATTTAAGAACCCTTTATGGTTCTAGGTTCCCACTCTCTCTTTTCTGAGAGAGTGGGAACCCCTTAGTGGACAAGTTAGTTCCTCCCTATTTCAGTCCATTTTCTTCCATTTGGTGCCTGATGAACACGACCCTGAACACTCACATTGTAGCCCCCCAGATGACCCCGCACTGTTGCCTGGGCAACCCTGGTCCAACTGACTCTGAGAAGGGTGGTGTTCAACACCTCCACTGCCACGTCCCGCGGGGCAGCTGTAGGGACTGGAGAGGACAGGCACCAATAAATAGCAATAGTACACACACCCGTACAAACACACACACACATACACACAGAAGACATAAAGGATAGGTAGCACATATTGACAAAGAAATACAACACCAAGAAGGAACAAACACACTATATAAAACAAAATCATTTCCACTTCCGTATGAAACTGTGGAGGGTACATATTAGTATAGTCTATGTAGGTGGGTGGGGGATATAGTGTGGAGGGTGTAAAAAACAAAACTAAGATCCATTATGCTTTGTGTCATTATATGTAAAATCTCCCACTTTGCTCAGAAAAAGGTGAGAATTTGACTTGCAAACTCTCTGCAAAGTTTCAAATTTTTTACGTGAGGGGACTACTTGAAGTACACCTACAGTACCAGTCAAAAGTTTGGACACACCTACTCATTCAAGGGTTTTTCTTTATTTTTACTATTTTTTACATTGTAGAATAATAGTGCAGACATCAAAACTATGAAATAACACTTATGGAATCATGTAGTAACCAAAAAAGTGTTAAACAAATCAAAATATATTTTATATTTGAGATTCTTCAAATAGCCACCCTTTTCCTTGATAACAGCTTAGCACACTCTTGGCATTCCCTCAACCAGCTTCACCTAGAATGCTTTTCCAACAGTCTTGAAGGAGTTCCCACATATGCTGAGCACTTGTTGGCTGCTTTTCCTTCACTCTGCCGTCCGACACATCCCAAACCATCTCAATTGGGTTGAGGTCGTGGGATTGTGGAGGCCAGGTCATCTGATGCAGCACTCCATCACTCTCCTTCTTGGTCAAATAGCCCTTACACAGCCTGAAAGTGTGTTGGGTCATTGTCCTGTTGAAAAACAAATGATAGTCCCACTAAGCCCAAACCAGATGGGATGGCGTATCGCTGCAGAATGCTGTGGTAGCCATGCTGGTTAAGTGTGCCTTGAATTCTAAATAATTCACAGACAGTGTGACCAGCAAAGCACCCCCACACCATAACACCTCCTCCTCCATGCTTTACGGTGGGAACTACACATGCGGAGATCGTCCGTTCACCCTCACCGCTTCTCACAAAGACGCGGCAGTTGGAACCAAATATCTCAAATTTGGACTCCAGACCAAAGGACACATTTCCACCGGTCTAATGTCCATTGCTCGTGTTTCTTGGGCCTAGCAGGTCTCTTCTTCTTATTGGTGTCCTTTAGTAGTGGTTTCTTTGCAGCAATTCGACCATGAAGGCCTGATTCACACAGTCCCCTCTGAACAGTTGATGTTGAGATGTCTGTTACTTGAACTCTGTGAAGCATTTATTTGGGCTGCAAAAAAAGGCTAGTAACTCTAATGAATTTATCCTCTGCAGCAGAGGTATCTCTGGGTCTTCCATTCCTGTGGCGGTCCTCATGAGAGCCAGTTTCATCATAGCGCTTGATGTTTTTTTGCGACTGCACTTGAAGAAACTTTCAAAGTTCTTGAAATGTTCCGTATTGACTGATGTTCATGTCTTAAAGTAACGATTGACTGTAATTTCTGTTTGCTTATTTGTGCTGTTCTTGCCATAATATGGACTTGGTATTTTACTAAATTGAGCTATCTTCTGTATACCCCCCCTACCTTGTCACAACACAACTGATTGGCGCAAACGCATTAAGAAGGAAAGAAATTCCACAAATTAACTTTTAGGAAGGCACACCTGTTAATTGAAATGGTTTCCAGGTGACTACCTCATGAAGCTGGTTGAGAGAATGCCAAGAGTGTGCAAAGCTGTCATCAAGGCAAAGGGTGGCTATTTGAAGAATCTCAAATATATGTTTAACACTTTTTTGGTTACTACATGATTCCATATGTGTTATTTCATAGTTTTGATGTCTTCACTATTATTCTACAATGTAAAAAAAAATCAAAATAAAGAAAAATCCTTGAATGAGTAGGTGTGTCCAAACTTTTGACTGGTAGTGTACATAGGACTGGGGTGATATCCAGAAAAAAAGATAGACACTTAACCTGATACATTATCCCGAAGACAATGCCAAAAGACAACTGAAGACAAGAATATGGGGGAGGGATAAGATGCAATGTTTACATAAATGAATAATTGGGCTCTTTGTCAAAAATGGCAGTTGGGTCACACATCAGAGAATAGTACTAGGATACACTAGAACACCGTCTGCACATCAGAACAGTAGATAAACAATGGAAACGTCAAATTTATGATACAACCAATTATGATTATTTGCATTATACAACTTAGATTAGTGCAGTACACTAGAAAAATTGTTTTGATTCACTGAATCATAGAAGAGCAACATGCCTCTCCTGGGTGGGCTTGGTGAAACACTAATCTCCTCTACTTGCACATTATGATACACCTATCCAGCCTTAAAAGTGTACATCCCAACAATATCTCCTTTCTCCTGAAGTGTGCACTCATTCACTATTTCCTTTCAAATCAGTGAAGAAACTGAATTTATACTATATATATTAGAGAAGTGAACGTACACACTTTGGGAGGAAGGACTGATAATTGGGACATATGAATGAAGTTGACTGGATTAAAGGAAACACTCTGGTGGTCTGTTACTCACGGTCTTCCCCGGAGTACCCTGTCACTACTTTGGGTTCCGGGCCCCAGCCGTGGCTGTTGCGACTCTGGATCTTGATCTCGTAGGGGACGAATGTGGGGGTGTTCTTGATGACAAAGGCGTGTCTTTTGACAAGATGCTCTTTCCAGACATCTTCTACGCCCAGTTTCCTGTAGCTCACCTTGTACTCCAGGCCTGGACCATTGTGCTCCACAGGCAATAGTGGCTGTGACAGAGGACAACACAACAGAAAGTACATCATCACACACATACAGTATCTACAACATACTGTACCTGTATCTAATACATACAGCATACAATTGTTGTATTTAAAGGTAGCTATAGATGCAGTTATGAGCTCTCTCACCTCCCAACTGATATCCATTTGATGGGGCAGATGACCCTGAATTTTGATGTTTTCTGGGTTTTTATAAGGAGCTGTGAGGACATATGCATTATTATATACTTTGCTTTGAGTTGAGACAATTACAATAGGGTGCATATGGCCAAAAATGACTCTTCACATGACAATGGCCAGTTCATTAAAACCTTTGAAATCCGTCTTACCTAAATATAAAGTACACAGTTATAAACGTATAATAAGATGATTATAACAGGTTACAGAGAAAGTCAAACCTGCAGAAGGGGTTTTGTATCGGTCTGTGGGCTTGCTTGGGGGCCCTGTCCCAATGGCGTTAACTGCATACACTCTAAACTGGTAGTTCAGGTGGCCGTGTAATGTCAACACCGCTGTGGCCTGGTTGCCAGGGACTCGCTTGAGTTCTCGCCAGGTCCCAGGATCCCACTGGCTCTCCTCGTACTCCACTATGAACTCTGTGCTCGTACAGTATACAAATTCATAAATCAGCCATTCAGAAATAAATATACTTTGTACTGAAAAAGTACTACATTGTATGTCTATATTAGGAAATATCGAAATACACTATATGACCAAAAGTATGCTTGTTGAACATCTCATTCCAAAATCATGGCCATTAATATGGAGTTGGTCCCCCTTTTGCTGCTATAACAGCCTCCACTCTTCTGGGAAGGCTGTCCACTAGATGTTGGAACATTGCTGCGGGGACTTGCTTCCATTCAGCCACAAGAGCATTAGTGAGGTTGGGCACTGATGTTGGGCAATTAGGCCTGGCTCGCAGTCGGCGTTCCAATTCATCCCAAAAGTGTTAGATGGGGTTGAGGTCAGGGCTCTGTGCAGGCCAGTCAAGTTATTTCACACAGATCTCGACAAACCTTTTCTGTATGGACCTCGCTTTGTGCACGAGGGCATTGTCATGCTGAAAGAGTAAAGCGTCTTCCCCAAACTGTTGCCACAAATCTGGAAGCACAGAATTGTCTAGAACGTCATTGTATGCTGTAGCATTATGATTTCCCTTCACTGGAACGAAGGAGCCTAAACCATGAAAAACAGCCCGGACCATTATTCTTCCAACACCAAACTTTACAGTTGGCACTATGCATTCGGGCAGGTAAAGTTCTCCTGGCATCCACCAAACCCAGATTTGCCATCAGACTGCCAGATGGTGAAGTGTGATTCATCACTCCAGAGAATGCGTTTCCACTGCTCCAGAGTAAAATGGCGGCAAGCTTTACACCACTCCAGCTGATGCTTGGCATTGCGCATGGTGATCTTAGGCTTGTGTGCGGCTGCTCGGCAATGGAAACCCAGTTCAAGAAGCTCCCGACGAACAGTTATTGTGCTGACGTTGCTTCCAGAGGCAGTTTGGAACTTGGTAGTGAGTGTTGCAACCGAGGACAGACAAGTTTTATACTCCCATTCTGTGAGCTTGTGTGGCCTACCACTTCGCGGCTGAGCCGTTGTTTTTTAACATAAAAATAAATAAAAATAATAATAATTATTTGGGGGGGTAGATCAGCTTAATATTGCAGAAAGATTGTAACTTCCATCAATGTAATTGTCTGCATCACTTCCAATCCCCCATGTTTATATATATATATATATATATATATATATATATATATATATATATATATATATATATATACAGTGGGGGAAAAAAAGTATTTAGTCAGCCACCAATTGTGCAAGTTCTACCACTTAAAAAGATGAGAGAGGCCTGTAATTTTCATCATAGGTACACGTCAACTATGACAGACAAAATGAGAAAAAAAAATCCTGAACATCACATTGTAGGATTTTTAATGAATTTATTTGCAAATTATGGTGGAAAATAAGTATTTGGTCAATAACAAAAGTTTCTCAATACTTTGTTATATACCCTTTGTTGGCAATGACACAGGTCAAACGTTTTCTGTAAGTGTTCACAAGGCTTTCACACACTGTTGCTGGTATTTTGGTCCATTCCTCCATGCAGATCTCCTCTAGAGCAGTGATGTTTTGGGGCTGTCGCTGGGCAACACGGACTTTCAACTCCCTCCAAAGATTTTCTATGGGGTTGAGATGTGGAGACTGGCTAGGCCACTCCAGGACCTTGAAATGCTTATTACGAAGCCACTCCTTCGTTGCCCAGGCGGTGTGTTTGGGATCATTGTCATGCTGAAAGACCCAGCCACGTTTCATCTTCAATGCCCTTGCTGATGGAAGGAGGTTTTCACTCAAAATCTCATGATACATGGCCCCATTCATTCTTTCCTTTACACGGATCAGTCGTCCTGGTCCCTTTGCAGAAAAACAGCCCCAAAGCATGATGTTTCCACCCCCATGCTTCACAGTAGGTATGGTGTTCTTTGGATGCAACTCAGCATTCTTTGTCCTCCAAACACGACGAGTTGAGTTTTTACCAAAAAGTTATATTTTGGTTTCATCTGACCATATGACATTCTCCCAATCCTCTTCTGGATCATCCAAATGCACTCTAGCAAACTTCAGATGGTCCTGGACATGTACTGGCTTAAGCAGGTGGACACATCTTGCACTGCATGATTTGAGTCCCTGGCGGCGTAGTGTGTTACTGATGGTAGGCTTTGTTACTTTGGTCCCAGCTCTCTGCAGGTCATTCACTAGGTCCCCCCGTGTGGTTCTGGGATTTTTGCTCACCGTTCTTGTGATCATTTTGACCCCACGGGGTGAGATCTTGCGTGGAGCCCCAGATCGAGGGAGATTATCAGTGGTCTTGTATGTCTTCCATTTCCTAATAATTGCTCCCACAGTTGATTTATTCAAACCAAGCTGCTTACCTATTGCAGATTCAGTCTTCCCAGCCTGGTGCAGGTCTACAATTTTGTTTCTGGTGTCCTTTGACAGCTCTTTGGTCTTGGCCATAGTGGAGTTTGGAGTGTGACTGTTTGAGGTTGTGGACAGGTGTCTTTTATACTGATAACAAGTTCAAACAGGTGCCATTAATACAGGTAACGAGTGGAGGACAGAGGAGCCTCTTAAAGAAGAAGTTACAGGTCTGTGAGAGCCAGAAATCTTGCTTGTTTGTAGGTGACCAAATACTTATTTTCCACCATCATTTGCAAATAAATTCATTAAAAATCCTACAATGTGATTTTCTGTATTTTTTTTCCTCAATTTGTCTGTCATAGTTGACGTGTACCTATGATGAAAATTACAGGCCTCTCTCATCTTTTTAAGTGGGAGAACTTGCACAATTGGTGGCTGACTAAATACTTTTTTTCCCCACTGTATATATATATATATATACATACATACATACATACACACACATACATACATACATACACATACATATACATATATATATATATATATTTATATATATACATATACACACATACACACACACATACACACATACACACATACATACATATCCTTTAAAAATATATATTCCCCTTTATTACTTTCCAAACCCGCCACCCTTTCCCTACTTGGAGTAAACTAGTGAACAACAATGCTTAGACCTCTACTTCCAGCTTATACTTACTATCTACATTCTATGGACACAGTCAATCTTACAATAATTATATTTTGTATGTTTTTTCTCCTGAACTTATTCTACTCTCAACCTCTCTGATAATTTTCATGATGTCCATCCGGTTTGCTTCTATATGACATATCTTTCTAACTGTGCTCTTTCACAAAAGCTCCCAACCTACAACCTATATACTTATTATGGACACAGTATGCTTACATTATTAGTTATCTTGTTATTATTTGTTGTTAGTTGTTATTAGTCCCATCCTTCAATTCCATTCAACACCTCCCATCTATCTCTTAACACCATCCATATAGGATTTCTATTTGCCATATATATTTCAACTGTACTGTGATGTCTTACAAAAGTTCTGAACCTTTCTATTCTCATTGTTTCTACAGATTGTGAATTGAAAATAAACATTTTTGCTAAAAGTATTATTATGTTATTGATCGATTGACTATGACTTTTCAGATCACCCAGTAATGCTATCTGCAAGGTTAGCTCCAGGTAAATATTGCAATCCTTTAGCTATTCCTGGACCTCTGTCCAAAAACAAGCTACAAATGGACAGTACCAAAACAAATGATCTAATGATTCTGTCTCTTCGCAGCAAAATCTGCAGAGCTGGGAAGATTGTATCCCCCATATAAATAACATTCAATTGGTAGCAAGAATTTTATATAATAATTTAAATTTAAAGATTCTAAGTTTTGAATCCGGTGTCGTTTTGCATATCAGTTCATAAACACTATGCCATGGGATCGGTACGTCAAAAATCTCTTCCCAACTATTTTGCAATCTATATGGGACGGCTGTCAATCCTTTGGTCCTTAAATGAAACTGATATACCTTTTTATTTATCACAGTTTTGCTTAACCAATTATGTTCTTTAATGCAAGGCCGACAGACAAGTTCCTTACTTTCTCCCCCTTCCACTTTCCTCTTCCATTTTTGCGGTAAGGCTGCAATTATTTGGTTGTAATTTTGGGTAGAGCAAACATTTCCATATGTTTTTGTTAGCTGCATGTGCGACATAACTCCACCAGTCCTACCGATGATATAATTTATGAAGATTATACCTTTTTTAAACATTTTGTCAAAAAAAAAAGGTTTTTTGTCAATTAGTATATTTTAGTTTAACCACAATATTTGTTGCATTAATTGTTCTGTCGTTTCTGGAGGATTAAATTGAAATTGCAACCAACTTTCTATGGCTTGCTTTAGAAATAGTGATATTTGGGAGATTATTTCCTTTTCAAATAACTGAAAGTGAGTGGTTGTAATCTGAATAAAGGGGAAAAGGCCATTCTTGAACATTGGGTGAGACAATCTTACTACTATGCAAGAGAACCAGTTCGGATTTAAGTATAACTTTTGTATGACTGAAGCTTTTAGTGATAGGTCTAATGCTTTAATATTTAATAATTTCTGTCCTCCGAATTCATATTCATTATGTAAATAGGCCCGTTTAATTTTGTCTGGCTTGCCGTTCCGAATAAAATTGAATATTTTTTTCTCATATAATTTAAAAAACTGTTCGCTAGGCGTAGGCAAGACCATAAGCAAATAGGTAAACTGGGATAATACTGAGCCGTTGTTGCTCCTAGACGTTTCCACTTCACAATAGTGTACTTTTTGTGCGCATATATTTCACATTTTAGCAATCTCTTATTACAGTTTCAGGAAAGGGGTTATAATATATTGTGGAAGAACACCCCCAAGTGTTACATGACAATCCTAATGTTTTTACTACACAAAAATATAAACACAACATGTAAAGTGTTGGTCCTATGTTTCATGAACTGAAATAAAAGATCCCTGACATTTTACATACACACAAAAAGCTAATTTCTCTCAAATTGTTTGCACAAATTTGTTTACATCCCTGTTAGTGAGCATTTCTCCTTTGCCAATATAATCCATCCACGAGATTCTCAAGAAGCTGATTAAACAGCATAATTATTAGACAGGTGCACCTTGTGCTGGGGACATTAAAAGGCCACTCTCAAATGTGCAGTTTTGTCACACAACACAATGCCACAGATGTTTAAAGTTTTGAGGGAGTGTGCAATTGGCATGCTGACTGCAGGAATATCCACCAGAGCTGTTGCCAGATAATTGAATGTTCATTTCTCTACCATAAGCTGCCTCCAACAACGTTTTTTTAAGAATTTGGCAGTACATCCAACCGGCCTCACAACCGCAGACCACGTGTATGGTGTCATGTGGGCAAGCGGTTTGCTGATGTCAACGTTGTGAACAGAGTGCCCCATGGTGACGGTGGGGTTATGGTATGGGCATGCATAAGCTACGGACAACAAAAACTATTGAATTTACCGTGACGAGATCCTGAGGCTCATTGTCGTGCCATTCATCCGCCACCATCTCCTCATATTTCAGCATGATAATGCACGGCCCCATGTCGCAAGGATCTGTACACAATTCCTGCAAATTAAAAATATCCCAGTTCTTCCATGGCCTGCATACTCACCAGACATGTCACCAATTGAGCATGTTTGGGATGCTGTGGATCGATGTGTACGACAGTGTGTTCCAGTTCCAGCCAATATCCAGCAACTTCGCACAGCCATTGAAGAGGAGTGGGACAACACAGGCCACAATCAACAGCCTGATCAACTCTATTGGAAGGAGATGTGTCGCACTGCATGAGGCAAATGGTGGTCACACCAGATACTGACTGGTATCGCCCCTACCTTTTTTTAAAGGTATCTGTGACCAACAGATGCATATCTGTATTCCCAGTCATGTGAAATCCATAGATTAGGGCCTAATGAATTTATTTCAATTGACTGATTCCTTATATGAACTGTAACTCAGTAAAATCTTTGAAATTGTTCCATGTTGCGTTTATATTTTTGTTCAGCATATGTTTGTAGTATGCTGAAACTGGGACCACATTTGATCTTCTCTTTCTAGTCCCTCAGGTACGGTGTACATTTGAGGACATCCCTACTCCCTATGACATACGATTGAGGGTGAAGAAAGCTGACTGTGGTAGCCAGGCCTACCAGTGGCAGAGCTGTTGTGGTCGTCACCGGGTACCCAGGCCAACCGGACACTCCAGCTCTTTTGTTCAGACAGCTCCACATCCTCTGGCGCATCAGGGACATCTGAAACAACATAACAGCAACATTGCAGAATCATTGCAATCACATTACGATGGGGGGGGGGGGGGGGGGGGGTTCACAGCTCATGATGGGGGGTGCATAGCTCCGGTCATTTGAGGACCGCAGTCCTGCTACATTTCGTCTTTGACCGCCTTTTATAGTAACTAGGGACTGACTTGACTGACCTGGGACATGCTCATTGGGGCATGCAATTGAAAACTTTTACAAATGTTTTGCAAAGGAAAACTAAAATGATAAATTCTTGTCCAGGTAGTCCTTCCCTCTTTCAGTCTATTTTCTTCAGTTTGGTGCCTAATGAACACAACCCAGGTAGGTGCACTCTCCAGCCAATCAGTAAGATCAATTTATTAAGCACTGTAGGTACAAAAGATAAATCAAAACCATCTGGACTGCGGACCTCCAGGGCCTGAATTTTGCACTTCAGCATTACAGACGTATTACAATGGCATTCCTAAAACTGACGGTGATGCTGCTTACCCAGTACTGTGACAAGTGCAGAGGCGGTGTCCTGGTCTAGATTGGTTCTGGCGATACATGTGTATGTTCCCTTGTCGCTTTGGTTTACATTGATAATTTGTAGCATTCCATTATCCAGAAAATATCTAATAATAAAAGCACATTTATAAAGAGAGACTCATAATACATTCACTTGTATCAGTGGTAACGCTGTCATTCTTAATAGGTGGTTTCTATGAATATTTCTGTATATCTTTGTGAGGTGATCCAACTTCCTACACTGTGGTAATAGTATAGTGATTAATACTTGTATACAAAATGGGGTAACAATCCCACTAGGGTATCTTACCTGGACTGTTCTGTGAATGGGGGTATCTGTTCCCCATCCTTGCTCCAGACTATTTGAAACTCCTTCCTAAGAGATATGTCATACTCTGCTTGGCATGTAAGCTGGGCTGTGGTGCCACTTAATATCAGCAGGTTCTGCGGCGGCTCCACGATTTGGGTGGGATCTGAAACATACAAATACATTTACCGGGTGAATAAAAGAACATCTTATAATCTTCTGATGTTCAGTTATATTTGAAAATCTTGCGGGCCATACTTGAAGTCTCAAGCTAGCTATGTAAGTCAGGTGAGAGAGAGTTACAGACATTTTCCACACAAGAGAAATGAGAGAGAGGATAAAATGGGAAAACCATTGTTTTTTCTTGGAATTTCCCTGCGCAGTTTGCAAGTAATCGACATAGCAAGGTTGGCTGAATTGAACTATGTCCTGATGATAATGAATACCATAATTTCCCTGCTACCTTCCCTGTCACCACTGATCTGAAAGGACTAGATAGATAAAAGCAATACGGATGAAAGCCAACATCCATATTATTTGTCCTAAACCCAATTCACTTTAAAGTGCAAATGAAAAAAGCAAATGATAATTCATTCAAAATGCTGTCCAAGGAGTTGAAATACCTTTGACGTCTAGCAAGGCTGTGATGGCTGATTTTCCCTCCGAATTGGTGGCGAAACACATGTATTCCCCACTGTCTTCTTTCCCTGCCTGGTTGATCTGCAGTGATCCATTCTTAAAAACTGAGAATTGTTCCCCCTCAACAGATTCCGTAGTTTCATCCTTGTTCCTAGAAGACAAGCATTTCAGAGTTGCCATTTGATAAGCTGTTTCCCTACTGGACATATACATGTTAAAACTGTGTTGGATATACAATAATCACACAAAAACAAATGTTATTGTAACACAAATTGAATTCTAATACGTTGTAAATGCATTCCACCCGTCTTTGCTTTCACAGACACCTGAAAAGCTTGTTTGAAGTGCAATTTTATTTCCTAAATACATTACAAATTTGGAAACAGGTTATCTATTCATTTAACATGTCATGGAACATGTTAGAATTGCAAGTGGAATTCATTTTGTGTGAATTTTCCAGTAGGGTTGGTTTGCACTTTTGTTAAGGTGTTGGAGAATGAGACTAGTTAAAAGACTAGTCAAGTTCATAAATGGAGAAACAAAATCACATTGGAACTCATGAGTCCTATATGAAATTTGAATGGGTCAATGTCAATGGGTCTAAGAGAGTCTTCCCTATCTAAACACACCAAAAGAGAAAGATTAGGGGTGATGTTACTGAAAGAGATAATCAGAATATAAGGAGATGAACAAAGGAAAAGTGTCACAGAACTCCGATAAATTAAGAATAGGGTGGTGTATGACATATAAAACAGCAGGAGAGAGAGAATTAAGGATGAATCAGGCATTGTTCACCACCAAAATAATAAACAATAATTAACAATAAACAAAAAACAATCGCTCCCTCACAAATTTGACTTCAAAACTGGATGGGTGCTGAATCCTTGTCCACAGTGAATCAAATGAACAGCACACCAAAGAGTGATTGTCAAAATTTCAGGGCAAATACATTAAGTATTGAAGATATCCTTTTGCAGTGCTTTCTATACCAGTCACTACAGATGTTCACCAACAACAACAGTGGAGGAGAAATAGGCTGGTGGCTCAACTCACCAGGAAACAGTGGATGGAGGGGAGCTGAATACTTTGCAGTCCATGAGGATGTCCCTCCCTTGCACTACTGAATATCGCTGGTAATCCTTAGTCAGCATCCGAGGTGGGAGATCTGTGGGGGTAGCAAAAACACAATTACCGCTATATCTTGTATATTTTACTGTAACCATAACACAGGACAATAACAACAAAACAAAGCCTAAAGGAAGCAATCAACCATGGCACAGGTTAGTGATTGGTTTCTTGGTAATACTATCATGGGGAAGAATTTGGGTGGTTTTAGGGTTTTAGGTAAGCTGTTCAATGTGGTGCATTATCACCATTATAGGCCATAGAATTTCTAGTTTGAGAAAAGTAATTGTCAGCTTGGAATGTCCAAGCATAGCCTGGTCCAGGATCTGTTTGTGCTATACTGCTCTGCTTCTCGGATAGGACTGGTTGTGTGTGTGTTCTGTGGCCAGCAGAGGTTGCAACTGTACAATAAACACACATGCATACATTCCCACATGCCAACACTCACACTATTGTTTTATAAAGAATCACCATTATACTGTTCATCTTATGGAGAAATCACTGTCAGATCCATCCAACATCAGTAAAAATGTATAATAATATATTTATGTGGATATGACATCCATAAGCTCCCTATCAGACTTCCCAATTCAGTTTCTGGGTGAACCAGGGCTGTGATAGGCTGTGCTATAGTTACACACACACACACACACACACAAAGTGCTAATGTCCAGTACTGACTTATGATCATGATGTTAATATTAGCCAGGATGGTGCCATGTCTGTTGGAGACTTCACACTGGTAGACGGCACTGTCCTCAGGCCTGGCCCTGTGCAACACTATGGTGTCATCAAGCACTTGTCTGTTCGATGACGGGCCATCTGAAAGAACCAGAAAGAAATGCTCAAAACCAAACACAAATGCAGATTCTATAGTACTGGCACTCCTTGTATATGGTCTGTATATTGCCTCGTTATTGTTATTTTATTGTGTTATTTTATTGTGTTACAATTTTCTTTTGATCTATTTGTTAATTTTCTTACTTTTTAACTGCATTGTTGGGAAAGGGCTCGTAAGTAAGCATTTCACGTTAAAGTCTACATCTGTTGAATTCGGCGCATGTCACAAATAACATTTGATTTGATTTGATTTATAGGATGCTGAGCAACAACTGGACCAAATTCAACACAGAGGAATGACTATTGCATTACACAAAACTACAAAGACCATTTTTGTATCCTATAGAGTCAAGTGAGGTGGGTGGATTGGACACTGAAGTAACTGGCAAGGACAGAGGTCAGGGTTCATATGTTAGGGGTCACCTCACTCACCGTCCAGAGGCTGTCCATTCCTCCTCCATGAGATAACCGGCCATGGCTTTCCCGAGGCAGAGCACTTGATGTGCACGTCAGAGCCAACAATAGCCAACTGGCCCTTGGGTGGCTCCGGCTGCCATCTTGGTGGCTCTGTGAGACATAAAGAGAGTCTTTGTCAGTCTAGAGTTGTGTTCCCCTGCTCAGATGTTGCTGACCCATGCCAGATCTTACAACGCCTGGATAGGTATTTTACGTATCAGCTAACCACATCATATTTTATAGCAATCTGGTGGCTGGCAGCACAGTCGATGATGTTGCATGCAACCATTGGTTGATGCATGCAACGTCTGAGCAGGGGAACACAACCTATGTAATGGCAACCATAATCCTTTGTATTTAACAAAGATGGCCGCCTAGAGATGTGTCTATCATTGTAAAGACGATACCTGACCTCTTCTAGAATGCTTTACGCTCTAATAAGAAATCAATGTTTTCCTTTGACAATGTAGCTGCTGTAGGTGAACGCAACGCCACAAGAGATTGTAGAGGTCTACAAAAACTCTTCAAAACTGAGGTCTAAAAAACCAAGCTGTCAAACATACACTGTATAACGAAGGGTGTAGGCTTCACTTGGACATTGTAGGGGGGACAACAAACTTTTTTGCAGGGGACACACTGAAAGTATAACCTGACTCAGTCTACTCACCCTCCACCATGACGCTGAAGTAGTGGACCGTTTGTCCGACAGAGTTCCTCGCCGTACACATGTACTTCCCATCATCCTCCTCTTCAATGTTATTTATGGTTAAACATTTCCCGTAGTTTTTTATATTTGCCCGTTTCGGCAGCTTCTCTCCAAATAATTTCCATTCGATCACAGGAGTTGGACTGAGTAACAAGATGAGAGAAAACGAGATGTGAAAAATGATACACATATTATTCTATAAAAATGTAATAATACAACATGTTCTAAGCAGATCCAGTCACTGAAGTTATGAATATATATTATTTCATACTAAATTGAGAAATGATGTGACTCCACTTACAATCCCTCTGCTATACACTCTAGCACCAGCTCCTCTCCTTTCACCAGCCAAACCTCTGACTGACCACCAGAGGGTACCAGAAGGCTCGGCTTTCTCTCTGGAATGGCATAGCCGTCCACTGGCAGAAAAGGACAGGCATAAGATGTACATTAGGTCTATTTCTGAAACCTAGGAGCAACTGCAGTAGGTGTTTGTCCACACATGAGTCTTTTGGTACACACTCCTAGCATCTTTTTTAGTGTTTTTGTTAATAAAAAACACACCCAGGTAAAATTGCATAAATTAATCTCATTCAATGTGTGCATGCTAAACATGCATTGACTTTTCCTATAAATAAGTCAGAGGATTTAATCAGTCAAATACTATGAACTGTAATGGGATATTATCATTCAGGTTCAAGTCAAATATAATGTTAAAGGAACTCACCACTGCTGTCACTGTCATCCAGCTCACCAGCAGGTTTTACTGAAATGTAAACAAAATATGAAAACTCACCTTGATCCAATGGAGCTCTGTCTATTGCTCTGATCTGAAGTACATGCCTGCACTTTTTGCACTTGCACACTTTGCACTTTATACTTAAAATAAAACCATATATAATGTTGATAGACTTTAGAATCCGACAATTGTCTTTGAGGTGTGTGGGGACAGCCCTCCTCCCTCTCCTTACAACATCATCACTGCATCTAGTGTCCTGAACATGACCTTTCAACTCCTACTCAACATGTAGGGCTGGGTTCTCAATCTGGAAGTAATATGTTGCTGACCGGTCTTGCAGATACCTGTTTAATCCGTTTTTACAAGTGCTACTTGTAATGTAAGTGTAGCGGGCCATAATGTTGCACTTAGAATATGAGGATGTCCTCTTGGTCTAATGTTTAAGATGTTGGGTTGGCGACCCAGGTTTAGAGGAAGGACTATGGCTTGCCTGTCCTAGTATAAAACAGGTTGAGAAACATTGATGTAAGGCATCACACTGTCAACCTACAGCTCTTGACGACCACCGACATGGCTGTCTTCTGGACGATGGTGCGTATGGCGGAGAATGCGGCGAAGCAGCAGTAGTCTCTCCGGCTATCCTTCTCCAGGGCATTGGAGAAGTAGAGGTTGCCGTCTTGGCCCATGGACACCCTCTCATCCTGTTCAATATGTTGGAGACCTGGAGGAGACAATGGGTTGTGTTCATTAGGACACACAATGGAAAATGTTTTGCAACAGAAAGCGACAATTTGGGTTTCATATTGAACAAGACGAAAATGTGTGTTTCTTATTGGAAGTGTAAAGGAAGAACTAGGGTCACATGACCTGACTAACCATACTGTGGCTTTAAATATGGCAGCCATTAAAAACAATTTCCCCAAGCTTTTCCCTTTATAGAGCAATGTAGGGAGAGTATTTGTTTGGATAGCTATTAGGTAAGAGTGGGGTTATAGAAGTAGGGTTTAATTGGTTGGTCTGTCCATTCACAGTTTTAGACATAGACTTGAATGGGAAAAATTCAAGCAATGGGGGAGGCCGATGACATCAGAGGGCACCATCAGACCAACTCCTTGAATGGCCTACTCCATAAGGTTTGCACTTGTGTCTAAAAAACACTATTTGCTGAAAACATATTTTTACTTTATTTATACGTGGGATATTGTTTTCAACAGGAAAAGTTCAAAAATAGCTGGTCTGCATTAACTAGCTCTGGTACAGACTGACTCAGTTTAGATTTTCTTCAGGAAATTTCCTTTTCTAGTTTAATTGAATTATTATTTAATTTCTTATTTTTATTTGGACCACTTTATGAGAAGCTCCTCTCAGCTCTAAAAAACATGCACTTCTATTTGAGCTCCTTGCCGAATTTAAAAATGTGTGATTTGGCTAGATGGGCCTAAGCATATGGCCTTATCCCCATTGAGAAACTACTTCAGACAGTGCTGTGATGTCATTAGATCATAGACCTTCTTTTGGCTTTGTTGAGAAAAAGGTGACACTGAATGTCCAAATTTAAAGGGAACTACGTTGAGCGGCCCTAATTCTACTTGTGTAATAACAAAAAAGCCATTACTATGCAAATTTAAAATAACTACTGAATTACTACATAAGAACATGTCAATAATATTTTGTTACTTGAGTAATAACAATATTACAACAAAGGTATAGGAGCATCCTAATGTAAAGTGTTACAGTATTCTATTTCAATTGAAATGTGTATAAAGTGACATATTCCGTTCTAAACTATTTTCAGTTGGATGGTGCTGTAAAGATTGAACTAGTGGTCTATTTTCTCACCAATAGTCATCCAGTAGATCTGTCGAGGAGGGATCCCCTGTGGTGGGTTGCATTCCAGAATCACAGGCTGGCCCTCTTTAACAACGATTGGGGCAATCTTCTCTTTGGGGAACTTTGGGGTACCTGTGCAATGGTTAGGCATGTATGAAATATGTTTTACTAATGTCAACACCTTTAGATGGGATACAAAATGTAACACACACAGTCTTGCTGTAAGATGCAAAACTGTTCACTATGCCAGTTTCTTACAACATGAGAGTGGCACTCACTTGGTACAATGAGTTCAATTTCCTCCGATACTGCTGTTCCCAGATTGTTTGAAGCGTAGCACTGATACTTCCCCTGGAACTGCGCAAGGTGCCCGCTATGAATCACAAAACTCCCATTGTTTCTCTCTTTTTTGACCCCCAAGTCAAAGAGGGGTTCTATGGCCTGGCCATCTTTTGTCCATCTGTATCTGTTGGGGCAATTAAGCATTTTGTAATGCTTGGTTACAGATATGATAGCTAGAGATGCAACAATAAGCATAAGGGCAAAAAACAGGGAGATCCTAGGACGAATCACAGTCATCTCACTCACACTGGTTGTGGGTTGCCTTTGGCTTCACATCTCATGGAAAAACTGTCTTCAAAGGGGAAGGCAATGACAGGGCCAGGGGTCTGCACTGTTATGGTCGGTAGCTGCTCCACTGCGGGATGAAAAGATACATTGCAGATACAAAACTACATTCATCCCACCATATTGGTTTCATCAAACAAACACTTTAACAACTTGACTACCATTATCAGGATTTGGTCATGTTGTGTGCAATGTACAGCAGGAAATGTATAACTTGTGCTTGTTGGAAGATTCATATTGAGAAATTGGCATTCTAGCTTTGTGTCAAGAACTGCAACGCTGTTTCCCGTGTGCATTCCTGTGGAACACCTTTGACACCTTGTAGAGTCCATGCCCAGACTAATTGAGTCTGTTCTGAGAGCAAAAGGGGGGTTACAACTCAATATTAGGAATGTGTGCTTAATGTGTACACTCAGTGTAGGTTGCCCATACTGCACTATACCTTCCAGGGGGATATCGAGGCCTCTGGCCCTGGAGGTCAAGGCCAAGAGGAAAGCAAGGCCCAAGCTACACAGCGACCTCATCGCCCCACCGCTGTTGAGCAGAGACTGTCCAGGAGAGCAGGCGACACTACTGACAGCACCACGGCTTTGGCCCACAAGATCAGCTGATATCTGTCAACACTTGGAGGAGGGAGAGGACCTAGATGTGCAGAGACACAGGGAAATAAAAAAAAACTGTCAGTAACCCAGTGGTGTGTACTCATGGATGCCAAGGGAAGCCAGGCTACCCCAAAAAGCATATAAAAGAATGTATATTTCATCTCTCTGTGTTTCATAATTTTTCTTCAATTCGCAAGAGGCTGAATGTATCTCACTGGAGAAAGCATCCGAGCGAGCGAAACAGCGCCCCTCTTTTTCAGTATGTGTATCCCAAATGTCTGATGCTGTCTGGTCAAAATGAGTATGACATTGTTTCCGCCCATAGCATTGAATGCAAGGGAAGCCAGCCAGCATTTGGTCTCCGTTGATAATAAAAAATAATAATAATAGCCAATCAGCGTTGAGCTAAACTGAGCGAGCTCAACTGTGAATGGTCCTGGCGCACCAAAAAGAAGAACTTAAATTGTTACATCTCTTTTTGCCGTGGTCCTCCGGTGGCTAACTAGCTAAAATCCTCCCTTTCCTAAATTAGCCATGGATGGAAATAGGGATTTGGACTTGTGGTTTTACTTAATTCTCCGTACTGGCCAATGATTACAACGGCAATTCTGATCCAACCATAAATTACTACATTGTGCCCCTGGACTGAGAGGATGGAAGTTCAACATGTAGCTAATGTAGTATGTTAATGTTAACTAGCTGGCCTGGCGCATCGTTGGCCATGAAAGTAAGTTAGACTAGCGTGCAAGCATTTTTGCCAGGTAGCCTAGGACAACAAAAACTAAAAGTGTGTACTGCATCACAGAGTCATGGACCGTTTCGGCAACATAAACAGCATCCCTATACTGACTTTGATTGGAGAAAAGTTAATCTTGAATTGCCCAAGGGGCAATTTGCTTTGCCTATACAATCAGTAAATAAACAGAAGCAGAGCAGTTCAATTGCCTATATGTACTAGTACAATCATATATAAAATGCATTGGGTACAGTTTGATAGACTACCCCTCAGACAGTCTAAAATAATATAAATACAACTGGCAGCACCATTGCCCAAGCAAATACTGAATAAAACCAGGCTAGGCAATCACCATGTCTTTCCTTACTCCAATCCAAGTATTGAAAGACAGTTAAACACTCTTCTGAATAACGGTAATGTCCTGTATCGCACATCCTCTCTCGACGGGTGTAATTCATTGGTACATCATTGTTGTAAAACATTCCAGTTGTTTGAGATTACCCCTGATTGTAAAACTGGGATGGTGGCATCAAATGGCATGCTTACAGTAAACCTTATTGGTACATAATATAAGATACTGCCATGGATGATTGCTAGAGAGGGTAGGCTTACGTTTGTTTATTGTAGCAAGCCTGTGGGTGCTGTGGGTTACAGATCTCCGAATGAACCAGCCCAGCCACAGTGGCATTGCCAAAGGGCTCACTCAACAAACTAATCCCTCAGTCACGAAAGCAGGACAACTATGTATCTCATGCCAACCTCCCACAATGGAGTGTGCCATTGCCGGTTGGTCCTAGTTAGTAATATGGGTTAATGCAGGTTAATATGTCAATTACTGTACACAAGGGCTAGGATTAGTCCAATTCAACAATTAGAGTCAAGTAACAGATTTGAAATTGCCCAATGTTCTCATTGAGGCTTAGTTTTCAATTTGTGAATTGAATTTAAATTGGAATTGAATAGTTGGTTGCCTTTTTGCGACAGACATAAACCTAATCTATGTTACAGCAACTACGGTATGGTAAAACAGTCGCACGATGTACCACATAAAAACATAACAAAACAACAACAAAAACACACACACAAAAAGACTCCAATATTTCTGTACATACTGAAAACCTGTGATTAGTTTATAATCGCAGAAAGAAAAAAAAAAGTAAAACAGTTAAGAGTCCATAAGATGCGGGCAGCCTTGCTTAAAGTGACAGAATTTGACCCTTTATCCAGATTTAGTTGACCCTGACAACAAAGAATCAACATCATACCTGACCTTACCAAGGATGTAACTCATTCAAGCTAAACAAAGCCTCTGTTTCATATACGTAAATAACCTTTTGGATTATGCAAATTATTGGGCTTCCTCACGGTACAGTATGTGCATGGCAGATCATGCAATAACCTCCCAGTTTACATTTACTCAAATAGCCAAATTTGGATGAAATAAAACATCAATGAATTCATTAATGTGATATAGTCCATTCTAGCAGTATTGAAAAAACGCATGGCTTTGGGATATAAACAGGAAACATGCTCCCAACATTTGTTTGGAAGCAGAGGGATCTATTACCAGACAACGACAGGATAATGAACCCTAAAATCCCCAGGGATTGTGTTTACATGACCAATAGTCGGCCGAGGAATGAGTGTGGGTCCACCACACTGCTAATCCCTTTACCACAGCAACTCAAAACACACATTGTATTATACCTCATTACTTACTGACTTGAAATTCAAAACATACTATAATCATTAAAAAAAACGTATTTCCAAAGAACAACAACATAAAGTAAATGGCATGAAAAATAGAGTATACTCACTGGCATTTGTGTCATTTTTCAACTGTGGATGCCTATAGGCTGTGAGCAAATCAGCTGCACTGAAAGTCCATTTAAAAGCCTCAGAAATCTGTGCTGTGCAAGTTCAGGCACACCGGACAGGAACAGACAGTGAGCATTCCAGCTCACCCTTCACGTTGCTTATTTTTCGCCCAGTGAATGCCTCTCACCCGCCCTTCCACTCAAGCGGCTAAAGGAGCTACGGGAGATTCACTGAAGTGACATATGTCGGCAAAGCCTCTCACTTGGCAAAGAGGCTCTCTAAGCCGCCCGACAATGACTTGGACAAAGCCACGGCCACAGGACTATTCACAGAGCATTAAAGAATAGGAGGAGAGGAAGTACAGGCATGCCTCTCTGTCCATACCCTCCTCACCCTGCACTACCACCCCATGCCTCCCTTCACTAAACATGTGCACGACGACATCCATTTACACCCACACAATTTGAATGATTATAATGCAATGGGTCTTAGCTCCATTGAAGAGAGGGGAGCAGTGGATGACATCTGCTTTCATCAAGCCTCATCTTTTGTAGTTGTGTACTGCACTGGCTTGAGGGGTCGATATTGTTGTTAGAGAAGGACATACATTGCACTCACTGCATTGTTTTTGGCACAGTGCTTTTAGCACAGTGTGAGCTATGGCTTTGTTACACAGTTAGGCTTGGGCGGTATACTGTATACTGGGTGTTTAGAAATACCAACGGTATGATTTTCAATACCATTTAAAAAAATACACTACATGACCAAAAGTATGTGGACACCTGCTCGTCAAACATCTCATTCCAAAATCATGGCCATTAATATGGAGTTGGTTCCCCCTTTGCTGCTATAACAGCCTCCACTCTTCTGGGAAGGCTTTCCACTACATTGCTGCGGGGACATGCTTCCATTCAGCTACAAGAGCATTAGTGAGGTCGGGCACTGATGTTGGGCAATTAGGCCTGGCTCACAGTCGGCATTCCCAATTCATCCCAAAGTTGTTCGATGGGGTTGAGGTCAGGGCTCTGTGTAGGCCAGTCAAGATCTTCCACACCGATCTCGACAAACCATTTCTGTATGGACCTCGCGTTCTGCACGGGGGCATTGTCATGCTGAAACAGGAAAGGGCCTTCGCCAAACTGTTGCCACAAAGTTGGAAGGACAGAATCGTCTAGAATGTAATTTTATGCTGTCGCGTTAAGATTTCCCTTCACTGGAAGTAAGGGGCCTAGCCCGAACCATGAAAAACAGCCCCAGACCATTATTCCTCCTCCACCAAACTTTACACTTGTCACTATGCACTGGGGCTGGTAGCCACAGTCCACATACTTTTGGCCATATAGTGTAGCTGGGAGGGGTTCATCAGGACCACTGACAAAACAGTCATTAGTCTCAACTCGACTCTCAGCTGTGCAACCTACGTCATAAAATTTGGGCACCAGGCGTGTCCGTACAGCCTCTTCCTAGTTGTTTTTGGGAGGGGGGATGGATTTGTATGTTTGAAATCCATGGCATAGACTCTATCCATGTACAAACAAACCTACCTATAACCCTTTCATCCAAAGAAGAAACCCTTTTTGGAAGAAAGGGTCACACGAGGGTTCTACCATGAACCCTTTTCATCTGAAGAAGCTTTTTAACTGACCCCTGAACCCTTTCCAGAGGGTTTTAACTAGAACTATATAGGATTCTCCTCTGGGGACAAGCTGAAGAACCCTCTATGGTTCTAGTTAGAACCCTTTTTTCAAAGACTGTACTCAGAGAGACTACCCAGGTGTTTTCGGGGTCACTTCTGACCTATGACATTCTGCTTGTTAACTTAACATAGCCTTTGAAACAAGCAGTGAAACAAATCTTAATCATTAAAATTCCTGTTTGATGCCTTTCCAACAACAACAAAAACCCGGTGTGACGTAACACAGTTGCCCTTCCCTTTGTTTTGATGTATTTCCCCTCCGAACTTGTTTCTTGCCTATGGCGTTTTTTTTATATTTACTAGGCTTTGCATATATCTACCTTCCAGTACACTAAAAGGGCAGCACAGCAATTACACAATAGCACAATGATACAGCAGGACAAACATCCAAACAAACCAGATAGACTGACATTAAATAACTAGTTCAAAAACCTAAAAGGAATTTAGAAGACAAGCAACTGCACAACTATGTATAATCAAAATCAGAAAGGACATGGAGATACTGCATAACATGTAAACAACAGTATTGAAAGGCAGGTGCAATTAGGGTTGTACACCTGCTATACATATAGTGGTTACAGTGGAATTTACCAGGAGCATGAATTCACTCCAACATGGGTGAGGAACATACACACGTAGGCACAAACACACCCACATAGACACTTTCTCATTCTGTCAAATACAATCGCTGTCTACACAGGCATTGACAGAATCAACATGGATGAGATATTTCTGTATTTCATTTTAAATAAATGTGCAAAAAAAAAAAAAACATGTTTTCACTTTGTCATTATGGGATATTGTGTGTAGATGGGTGAGAAAGAGAATCGATGTAATAAATGTGGAATTCAGGCTGTAACACATCAAAATATGGAATAAGTCAAGGGGGATCAATACTTTCTGAAGGTAATGTATATATTTGATGAAACATTGAATTTGGCCTTACTGGTATTAGCCCACAGAAACGCATTGAAGAACACAATCATACATGGCAAAACAGATAGTTCATGTTTTGACGTATGTTTCCTATATCTAAGAGATATACTGTAGAAAGCTCTTGACGTGGAAATGCCCTATTCATTTCTATTCATTTTTACCTTACTGTCACCGGTGACCTTCAGACGAGTTCTGTGAAGCTTGTGGACGTAGTAGAGTAAAACAGCCAACACGACCGTGTTTGTGAGTGTCTCAGCTTTCCATAGTGGGGTCATATTAGTTCAGACATTACAGAGGTTTTTCTGAGAAGATCGGTTTTCAGGATGTCTCCTGGCTATACAAACACCACTGTAGCTCTGCCACCTTCCACAGCTGATATGGAAGGCCAACACTGGCGGATGTAGTAGATTGAGACGCATCCCATGCAAAACCCCAGAAGTCTCTAAAGTCACAGATTTTTATGCAATTACATTGTTATGCTACTTAGATTTGTGGACATCGACTGTAATCCTGCTGTTATTAATTTTAGAGAGATTTAGTTGGGTTGACCGAATCAGGTAAAGTGGTACCCCTCATAAAAAACCTGCCATAGTGACAGTGAGTGTGTGTGTGGGCACACTTGTCTGTGTGTGTATGTGACTTACTGTAAAATACTTTTTTTACCTTTCAGGTTCTCTATTTTCCTTTTACGAAATATTTCATGAATTAAAGTATTGCTCAAACAAAGTCAAACATACTATAAACTTGAAAGCTACGACGTTCCATTATAATTAGTATATTTGATGTAGGCTACATATTTCCGTGTCGTTCCACGAAAAGAGTTCCCTTTGCGTACCTTTGATATTTTAAGTAGAAATTGTGCACCAATATTGAATTTTAAAAGCCCTTTAATATAGACCACATGGATAATTCAATAAATCTGATTTTTTTTACCTGAATAAAGGATTGCTAAAGTGCCAAAATTCAGTATTTTGACATGTCCCTTCGTCAACCCTGTGTCACTTCTAGCAAAATTTGAATCCACTTAATCCCAACATTTCTCCAAGTTTCAACATCATTGTAAAGCCCTAATTATTTTGTTGCTTTGACTAAATAATTTCTGAAGATCATTATTCATTTAATGTTATTAGTGATTCATATACATCTGTCTCATTTTAAGGTCAACCGTGTTACGTGAACTGAACTCTTGTTTTAATATGGTGAAACTATTCCTTTTTAAATATTTATTTCAAAGGAAACATTGAACATCTTATAGTCAAATCATAGAGTAAAAGCAGATGAGCTGGTTCTACTATTTCTGGCAATTGTCTGTTTTGTGGTGGGAATATGAGCTGGTCGAGCATAACACGTCAACCCTGTTACCCATAGATAGGCTAGAAATGTTTTAACAATTTCTTTTTCCATTTCAGATTACATTCAATTGCCACTCCCTATTGCACACAACAAGCTTCCATTCCCCCTGTCACAAGGGGATTTGTTTCTGATTTAAGAAGAAATATTCAACCCTGTTACAGTCAAACCTGTTACTTTATTTGGCACTTAATAGGCACTTACTATAGTCATTTTTTATTTAATCTCTTGAGATGGGAAATCTAAAGTTTTTTGAGATCAAGTTACACTTCTCAAAAAGGCACCGAATTGGTGGAACGACCCTTCCACTGATTGCAAATGTTAATCACATTCCAGCGAGATTCTGCTTTCTTGGCATACATAACTGTGGTAAGTAAAATTAAGGATGACTCTCTTATCATTTGATGTATGGTTATGTGGTCAAAGCTTGAATTTCTTTAGCCATGTCTTTATCAATGTATGCGGACAACAAAAGCAATGCAAATAAAAGTATTAACCGTTATAAATGTTATAAACAGGGTGCCTCAGATCACAGCACTGGATGTTAACTTAGTTTCCAAGTATAATTTTTCAGAAATATGAAGGGAAAAAGGTCAGTTCCTTGGGTAACACTTGGATTGAGCCTTGCTGAAAAAGGATACATTACAGGACAGCACTGCATTTCCCAACATCACTAAAATAATAAGGAGTATTAGTCTCTCAATTTATCATAACATGACAACCGGCAAAAGTCAGAAAGAGACATGGCCTTACCTTTGAGGTCAGTATCTGCCAAACCTTACATGTACACCTTGTGCCCTCTCAAAAAGAGTGAGTATCTAAACAGGCACCACAGCCACAGCCTCGCTTCCACACTAACAACAGACAGCACCTGGCAGCTCTCTGACAGCAAGAGCCAACCTGTACTACCAGTATTATGTAAAGGCAGGGCTTGTAACTTGACAGACACGCACACACACTTGTTAGGTTAAGTGTGAAGTGTGCTAGAACTTCTCACATTTCAAAGACTGCTCCTTTCAAAGGTTCAAACAAAAACATTGAGACGCTGCTGCACGTGGACATTGTCAGATAACATTACTGTATTATACAGTGGAGGCTGCTGAGGGGAGGACGGCTCATAATAATGGCTGGAACGGAGCGAATGGAATGGCATCAAACACATGAAAACCATGTGTTTGATGTATTTGATACCATTCCACCAATTCCACTCCAGCCATTAACACGAGCCTGTCCTCCCCAATTATGGTGCCACGAACCTCCTGTGTTGTTGTACTCACAGCGGCAGTCTATGTGAGCCAATTACTTAGTGTACACCCTTTTGGCGCTAGTCCCAGTTTTTGAATTGACCTGCAGCTGATGACAATATTGATTGTGGGATTTTGTGCGTGTCCACAGTCAATCAGTGTTTGCAATCAAATCAGTGTACAGTCATTTGAAGAGGTGAGTGAATGAGATATGAAGAATACTTACAGTACAGGGCTACTGCTATTGTTGTTATGCTCATGTATTAAACTTAGCTCTCATGCTTTCAATTGACCTTTCAACATTGCCGTTGTGTTTTTAGAGTGAATGTTCTCATTGTTGGTCTCGCCATATTTTGAAAAGTGTCATTCTGTAGAGTGGGAAAGAGCTCATTCATTCAGGGTTTAAGAGTTTAGCGGATTGTGTGAGGACATGGGAAGAGCCGTTGCTAAATCTAATTTTGAAGCACGTGGCAGTATTGTAACACTTAAACCCCCAAACAAAAACTCCCTGGATTTTCTATTTTTGGGGGGAAATGAAGACTTCGGACAGGCTACTAACCACCCTTTTTGTTGATTTCTTTCTTTACAATAAATATGGAAATAATCAAAGTGAGATGGAACAGTTAACGAAACTAAATATTCAGGATATACACAGGAATTCAGACTTTGTTATATCCTATTCCCCAATAGAATTACATTTTACAAAACACTTATAATGGTTTTTCACAGCTCCCCTTCATGGAACTCATCACTTGGCAGCACTTGAGAGTGACAATGAAAGGGCCATTCAGCAGCTAAATCAGTTTGCTGCAAGAACTGGGATATGGAGAGTGACATTCGCACTCTGCTTCCTCCCTTTCTAGGGTCTACTGGCAGCCCACTTCACACCTCAGCTCTTTCCATCACAGTGCTGAGAAAGAGATAAGGGAATGATTCCCCAACAAATACCAGCAGCTAATGCAGTACATCAGCTAACACTGTACAAACACCTTTTTCATAACACCTTTTTAAAACCAGGCATGATATCTTTATGAATGACTTATGTACCCCTTTCAAGTAGTGTTATAGTATATCCCATTGCTATAGCTTGTGTTGTTAGCATTCTATTTGTTTTGTTAGACCATTTTAATCCTGACTTGGTTTCTCTTGTTTCTAAAGACAAAACATCCATGTGCTGTCAACAATTTCTCAGTTATTTACAATATATGCACTTTATGTACTGTAAATATAAAAATTCTCAAAACACAGTAGCACTGGTAAAAATAACTAGATGCTGGTTGACAACTCTGAATTCCTGGTGGTTTATTTTCTCTACAACAAAGCAATGGAGGAGAGAACTGTACATGAATATACCTGCTGACATGTTGACGGCATCTGACTCACTTTCTCTCATCTCTTTCTTTTCATCAGCTAGGTGGGAGAAGAAAAGGGAGGAAAGAAGGAGCTGCCAAGCTCCAGGGATGTCCGGGGCTTTAGTAGCAGGTCAAGACAAGTACCTTTTATCCAGTTTGCAATGAACAGCTGTTGGATCTCCCTCTCAATCTTTGCGGATTAGGATTCATAATTGAGGGGCTTAGACAAAGGATGCAATCAAACCATTCTAAAAGGGGGCTTGTCTATTTTTGCAAAACACACACACATACAGTTCACTCCCACTGTCCCACTTACACATGGAAAGTAAAGAAGGCACTACGACCTAATTGAATGTACAGATCGTTAGGCTCATTTCATCAAATGGCTTGCACCTGCAGCCTTGCTACCTATAAAAACTTTACAGAATCCAGATTTGAAAGCCTTAGTAACTATTAGAGATGTAACGATTCACCAATATGCATCGACCCCGGTTCAAATGTTAAAGATATGAGTGCATCGGTCTGTGTGACCCCAAACCGAACTAAATGTAGCATGCATCGGTCAGAAAATCGATTCAAACGTTCAATTTTTTGTTGTTCAAATTACTTTCTTTCTACTTTCCGAAAATACCTCTCATCTTTTGTAACAACTGCGTCCTCTCCTTCAGTGTCGAACTAAGCATGTAATTGTGTTGACAGTCATTGATCTACAAGTCATTTTGCATGCCGAACAACCCCAGGCGATATCAGTGGTGGAACAAGCTCCCTCACGACGCCAGGACAGCGGAGTCACTCACCACCTTCCGGAGACATTTGAAACCCCACGTCTTTAAGGAATACCTGGGATAGGATAAAGTAATCCTTCTACCCCCCCGCCCCCCCCCCCCCCCCCCCCCCCTAAAAAAATAAAACTAAACAAAAATAAATACATTAAAAATAAAAATAAAAAATATATATAAAAAAGAAATTTAAATTTAAATTTATAAAAATATTTTTACAAAAATATTGTAAAGTGGTTATCCCACTGGCTATAGGGTGAATGCACCAATTTGTAAGTCGCTCTGGATAAGAGCGTCTGCTAAATGACGTAAATGTAAATGTAAATGCAGTAGCCTAGTCAAACTGAGCACTGTGCGTAGCTTCCCGCGCTGACGAACAAGTTAGGCCTATTCCTGATCTGGCACATCTGCATGTCACCTTCATAAAATGGCTTGCACAATATTAGGCTTTATTAGTTGAGTGACAACCAATGTAACTTGTTAGGTTATTTTTATCACATGCTCTGTTGAAAATTGTAAAAAAAGTAGCCTCGGAGACAACTCTCATCTGGCTACATCGGGGCTTACATTAGATTTTATTTGGTTGTTCAGGTTCACCATCAGCAATAGTTGTGCTTGAAACATCTCACCAGACTGTTCTTAGGTACACCGGGTCAGACCCCCTTTGCCTCCAGAACAGCCTGAATCTTTCGGGGGCATTCTACAAGGTGTCGGAAATGTTTCAAATTGATGTTGGTCCATGCTGACGCGATGGCATCACGCAGTTGCTGCAGATTGGAAGGCGGTACATTCATGCTGCGAACAGCCTGTTCTACCTCATCCCAAATATTCTCTATTGGGTTGAGGTCTGTGGACTGTGCAGGCCACTCAAGTAAACTGAACTCACTGTCATGTTCCAGGCAATGTTTTTCCACTCCTCAATTGTCCAGTGTTGGTGATCGCGTGCCCACTGGAGTCGCTTCTTCTTGTTTTTAGCTGATAGGAGTGGAACCCGGTGTGGTCGTCTGCTGCAATAGCCCATCCAGGACAAGGATCGATGAGTTGTGCGTTCCGAGATGTCGTTCTGCACACAACTTTTGTACTGTGCCATTATTTGTCTGTTTTGGCCCACCTGTTAGCTTGCACGATTCTTGCCATTCTCCTTCGACCTCTCTCATTTACATTTACATTTTACATTCATTGTATGAATGCATACATGTTTTTTTGTTTTGTTTTCAATGAACTGTTTTCACCCACAGGACTGTCACTGAATGGATGTTTTTTGGTTGGTCTCACAATTCTCAGTAACCCCTAGACTGTCATGCGTGAAAAGCCCAGGAGGGTGGCCGTTTCTGAGATACTGGATTTCTTATTTTATATTTTCCTTACACTCCATTATGTACAGTTAAACTAACCTCATTATAATTAGAATACGGCAATATTTTAAATCCCAGCAGTCTTTAAAATGAAATTCAAGAGCAAACGGTTTTCAAAGTTTTGTAATATTTATATATATTTTTAACAAATTCATTGAAATATAACCAACAGCCTTTCTTTATGTGTTTTGGATTCCCATCCTCTCCGCCAGGTCAAAGGCAAGTTTTCGGACATTCCATGATGTAAGTCCGAAAAGGGCTCTTTCCATTTTATGGATATGACTCACGGACAAGTTCTTGCCTGGTTTAGATCTTATCTGTCGGAAAGATATCAGTTCGTCTCTGTGGATGGTTTGTCCTCTGACAAATCAATTGTAAGTTTCAGTGTTCCTCAAGGTTCCGTTTTAGGACCACTATTGTTTTCACTGTATATTTTACCTCTCGGTTATGTCATTCGGAAACACAATGTTAACTTTCATTGCTATGCGGACGACACACAGCTCTACATTTCGATGAAACCTGGTGAAGCCACAAAATTGCCTACCCTGGATGCATGTGTTTCAGACATAAGGAAGTGGATGGTGGCACATTTTTTACTTTTAAACTCGGACAAAACAGAGATGCTAGTTCTAGGTCCCAAGAAACAAAGAGATCTTCTGTTGGATCTGACAATTCATATTGATGGTTGTACAGTCGTCTAAAAAAAAACTGTGAAGGACCTAGGCGTTACTCTGGACCCTGATCTCTCTTTTGACGAACATATCAAGAATATTTCAAGGACACCTTTTTGATCATATTGCTCCAGTGCTAGCCTCTCTACACTGGCTTCCTGTTAAGGCTAGGGCTGATTTCAAGGTTTTACTGCTAACCTACAAAGCATTACATGGGCTTGCTCCTACCTATCTCTCCGATTTGGTCCTGCCGTACATACCTACACGTATGCTATGTTCACAAGACGCAGGCCTCCTTATTGTCCCTAGAATTTCTAAGCAAACAGCTGGAGGCAGGGCTTTCTCCTAAAGAGCTAAATTTTTATGGAATGTTCTGCCTATCCATGTGAGAGACGCAGACTCGGTCTCGACCTTTAAGTCTTTACTGAAGACTCATCTCTTCAGTAGGTCCTATGATTGAGTGTAGTCTTGTCCAGGGTTGCGAAGGTGAACGGAAAGGCACTGGAGCGACAAACCGCCCTTGCTGTCTCTGCCTGGCTGGTTCCTGTCTCTCCACTGGGTTTC